ATGGAGACCGCCGCTTGCGCGATAAGAGCAGAACAGATGCAGGGAGCATCACATCATGGCGTAGACTCTTGACAAAAGAACAATCCACCAATCAGGCAGCGAGGCAGGCAGGCAGGCAATGAGATGAGAAGAAAGCAAGCGGCCGCCGTCGCTCGCTCACTCACTCGGTCACTCGGTCAGTCAGTCACGTGTATAGGTAGGTTAGGTAGGTGTACGTACGCACCTGCACCCCCCAGTCGATCGCTCTCAAACGAGCCACGCACGCAATGGATGCAGTCAGTCAGTCAGTCAGTCATCACCAGTCATCTCAGCTGGTGCACTCATCAGGGCATGCAGCACAGCACATCACACCAGCACCGGCAGCCATTGTACGCTTGCCCCACCCCACCATAGCCTCCCTCCCCTCATCCCCCTCCCCCTCCCGCCCTCCGTGTGGCTGTTTGTCAAGTGAGTCTAGGAAGCAGCTGGCTGAGTGAGAGGCTGACTGAGTGCGGGAGAAATAGGACGGAGGGAGGGAGTGAGGGAGGGAGGGATTGTGGGGTGGGCGCAGAAAAAGAGATCGCGTGCGTGTCGCATCTGAGAGATCGATTCCATAGAGATTATGGTATACCAGACAGACAGACAGACAGTGAGTGTCCATACCCCCGCCCCCCATGGAGCCCAGATGGATGTGCAATGAAAATCCACCCCCCCGCCGACATCACGGACACACACAGACGGATAGACAGATAGATAGAGTTCACGCCCTCGGGTGCGGTACGGTGCGCAGAAACGAGTGGGGAGAGAGCAGCGCAAAGGACGCGCAAATGAAGCAACCGAAGGAGGATGAGCAAGGAGGCACAATATGGACAACAAACACAGCTTTCCTGCCCTCCCCTCCCTCCCTTCCTCCCTCCCTGCATGTGCAGGCCGGCAGGGCCCCAGGACACAAGACACAACACACACAACTGACTAGAGGGGCCGGCTGCCGGCAATCACTACCACTGCTGCAGCAAGGAGAGAGAGAGAGAGACGGAGGTAGGGCATTGGGGGTAAACGAGATGGCGTAAACAGAGAGGCATACCATATACACACACACAGACACAGAGAGGGAGAGAAAGAGACAGACATATAGATAGAGTTAGTGAAACAGTCGACAATCGGTGAATCGATCAAAATGATTGACTGACGAACGGACGGCAAAAAGGCTCCTGAACAAACTTCTTCCTCCCTCACCTCTCTCTCTCTCTCTCTCTGTCAGTCAGTCAGTCAGTCAGTAAGTCGGTCAATCTAGGTGTCCTTCTGTGCTGTGGATGGAATGATGGATGGAGGTGGGCAGCGATCGGTGGGCATGCACTAACTAGCAATCAATCAACATGGTGTGGGGTGGTGTGTACGAAGAGGGACGGAGGCAGGGAGGGAGGAAAGGCACACGAGAGAGATAGGCAGCACGACACACGGCAAACGGCTCACGACACACGACACGCCACACACACGACTAGGCCATTCATCCATTCATGCAGTCAAGGCAGACAGTGTCACTACAGCAGCAATCCACCAGCCGTGGTGAGTGAGTCAGGGAGTGAGTGAATGAGTGAATGAGTGTAAGACAGCAGCAAGCAAGCAAGCAACCAGCCAACCAATGAAGGTAGAAAGAAAGAGGCTTAAACCAGTAAAACCTCTGGAGAGAGGAGTGAGTGGACGGCTGAGTGACTGAGTGACTGAGTGAGTGCGTAAAATGAGTGAGTAAACCCAGCGATGGATGCCATGTGTTGTATGCGCCAAGCGATCGATGCTCATGAGGACCAAGAAGGCAGGGCGCGACGCGCACAGCACACACACAGCCGGGAAAGTGGCGCAAGTGAGGCCTCTGAGAAGAGGGAGTGGGTAGGTGGTGACGCAAAACACAACAGCCATCCCTCCTTGTGTGCAGCCCAATCCATTCATTCTGTCTACCCACAACCCGCATGGACTCCTACGATCTGATCTGATATCATATGTACGCAAGACAGTTCACCAGCCTCCCAGGGAGGCAGGCAGCCGGGCACACAGGCAGCCACATCCATCCACCGTACGGCCAAGGGCACTCATACGATCGCAGTCTTTCCAGCCATCCAGCCCATCCGTCGAGTCGTCCGTCGTTGGCACTCCGCACACGAGCACACGAGCGAGCCTCCCTTCGTCCCTGCCTTCCGTCCGAAAAAAGAGGCGATGGATCCGAGCTCTATCAAGCCAGTCGTCAATCAACCAGTGAGAGACAGACAGAAGAAATGCACACACATAATAATACGCATGTCGATCGATCGACGCGAGAGGTTTGTTCACAGGGAGGCCGGGAGGCGTGCGCAGGAGGCAGGCGTGGCGTCCATACAGAGAAAGGGGCGGGAGGGAGGAGGGGGAGAGAGGGAAGGGAGTGCGCTTGACAGTCAGGCAGTCAGGCAGCCCGGCCGGCCGGTGCGGTAGGGCGTTACTCACACGTACGCACATAGTGAGGGTGAAAAAGGGATGTACACATGTACGCATGTACGCATGTGTGTGTATATGAATGTGTGTGTACGCATCAAGTAGGTACAAAGCCGGAAAGTGAGCATGAAGGGGACTTGTGCAGCAAACAGTCAGAGGTGAGGACGGCGGGGGCGGACGTGTCTGAGTGTCCGCACCCCACCAGAGCAAGAGAGAGACAGAGAGAAAGAAATGAGAAGAGACAAAGACAAAAGAGGGCACCGTCGAACAAACGAACGGACAGACGGACAAACTTCACGCCAAGTCGTCAGGTCAAATCAATCCTTTCTCATTCCTTCCTTTTTCCATCCTGCGCTCATTCTGCCTGTACACACACAAGATTTGACTATGCTCCCGTTCACCCGCACTTCACTCCCCCTCCCCCACCGCCCAACCCCAGCAGCACACCAGTCAGTTACGCACATGACGCATAAACACCACACACCACAGACAGACGCATGTACATGCAGCCAGTCGGTCGGCAGCAGCAGCAGCAGCAGATAGGATGTATGCATGTTACCACCGAGTGAAAAAAGATACAGCGGTCGGCCAGAGCAGCCGACACCCATGCACACACACGTACACACACACGTACACGTACACATAGAGAGGAAGGCCCGTATGAAATAGATCGGCAGATTGCATGGTTTGGCAGTTTGTGTCAAGTATGCCATGTGAGCGTGTGTCGTGTCAGAGCTCGCGTATGTCATGCAGAGCCCACCCCACCCCGCCCCGCCCTACCGATAGGTAAGAGACAAGACAGTGAATGGATGAATGGTGTGCCGTGCGCCCACCCAGCCCCTCCGCCCGCCCCGCCCTCAACCCCTCCCCCCCCTCTTGTGTTGAAAGACGGGCCATCCCACCCACTTGTCAGTCAGCGCCAACCAACGCCATCCAATGCCGTGCAATGGAGTGCAATGCTGCCGTGCTGTGTGCCTGCCGTAGCATGATCGTAGTGTGCCGTGCCGTGCCCTTCGTGGGTGCATGTGTGCGGACTTGTGCGTGTTAGACCGACTAACTGCATCGTTGTGGGGTCTCTTTCGGTGACATACAGAGAGAGAAAGCCATCCATCCAGACAGACGGACAGACAGACGGACGAGCAGACAGACAGACAAGGCAGGCGATGCGGGAGGGAGGGAGAGAGCTCTCAGCAAAGTCACACACATACAAATGGATCACTCAGGCGGTCGGTCGGAATTAACGCCCTCATCACGAAGAAGAAAAAGGAAGACCTATGGGGATCGATCATCGACCCGAGCGATCTGGATGCTTGAATGGATGGATGGATGGATTGACTGACTAATGGGTGAATAACATAGCAAACAAACGGCCCCCCTCCCCGTTGAACTCCCTCCCTCACTGCAAACAGCTAGACACCCACCCCACCCCACCCAGAAAGGTATCTAAACGCAACACACACAAGTCAGACAGACAGTCAGTCGACCAGTCGATCGACAGACAGCCCAGTGCCGCTCTGCATGGGGCGAGCCGCATCGCATACTCACTCATACAGACGGACGTGACAGTAAAGAAAGAAATGCCATTTACGTAAGCAAGCAACGGTATCCATCAAATCAACGAAAACGGGCACGAAGGCGTGTGATGTGGCATGAGTGGCATGAGTGGCGTGGGATGGCTCCATGGATGGATGGCTGGATGTGTGTATGGGTGGGTAGATGGCTGAGTGGGCGGATGTGGCGCAAATCTTGCTGCGAATTACCCAGACAGAGGGCCTTCTCTGCTCTTTTCTTCTTCTCAAAATGATGGATGCACATCGATCGATATCCCACCCTACCTGCGCGCCGTGCTGTCCCGCCGGCCACAACTCGCCGACAGACAGAGAGAGGGAGACAGAGACAGAGAGGAAAAAAACGCACTCGCCCACCAGTCATCAAAAGAGCAGCAGGCGGCAGACAAAAAGTCTTGGGGCCTTTCGCTGCTGGTCAATCTTATCTACGCGCAACGGTACGCGCAACGGTATGATTGATGTGACTTGCAAGTATGACGTGGCAGACAGACAGACAGACAGACACAAACGTACTCGCAATCACGTGGCATGTTCCATCATCATCATCAGCAGGCAGGCACACAGACGGACAAACGAGTAAACAAAGGAACACCACCTCCCTCCCTGCCTCCCTCTGCCCTAGCAGAGAGAGCAAAACAATTCCACTTATAGATGGGATGGGACACGGCGGCAAGCTGCTGCCCAGACATACACACACCCAGAGAGAGAGCGAGAGAGAGAGAGACGTCCACACATACACACGTCACCCACACACAAGACACAGGCGGGCAGGAAGGCAGAAATGACTTCTGCAGGGGCTGTAGACAGGGCATCAGGGCACATACAGACGAGGGTAGTGAGTGAGTGGGAGAGTGGGTGAGTTGGTGTGGTGTGATGGAACGAACAGGCAGGTGTGTGGTGTGTGTGGGTGGACACACATCATGTCATGTCGACGGATGCACTGACCTGCCCTGCCCCCCTTGCAGGCAGGCAAGTAAAATGCCGGCCTCTCTCGCGGCGTGTGCGGTGCAGTGCAATGTGTGGCTTGGTATGGCACGGTACCTCACTCGTCCATTCCCTCCCTCCCTCCCGCCCCTCTCTAGTCTGATCAGGTAGGTACATGTGTGTGTTTGCGTGTGTGTGTGTGTGTTGTCCATCCGCCCGTCGGTGCCATCGCGTCCGCCAATTCGCCCCGGCACAGCCCCCCCTTGCGTGAGCGTGAGCGTGAGCGTGAGTGTGTGTGCGCGGCGAGCCAGTCAGTCAGTCAGTCCTGGTGAAAGCAGGCATACGATCAGGTGAACACGTCGCCTCGCCTCAGCTGCCGTCCTTCCCCCTCTCTCTCCCTCGCTCTCTGTGTGTGCGCGCTCTTCCTCCAAGCAAACAAATGGCCAAAATGCCTTGGCTCCTTCCTGTCCTTTGCTCCGGTTCTTTGAAAGCGATAGGTGTGTCTTGCTGTGGGCGTGAAATGAAATCAGCAGCCGTCACAAAATGCCGTCCATCCAGTCAGTCAGTCAGGCAGGCAGTCAGGCAGTCAGGCAGTTAGGCAGCACATTCGGTCATTGTTTGGCACACAGCAAGCAAGCAAGCAGCCAGGCAAGCAGGCGGGCAGAGGAGCCCTCCCTCCCTCCCTCCCTCCCTCCCCTGTCGGTGGCTGAGCAGGCAGGCAGGCAGACAGAAAGGGGCAGGTCTGGTTGAACAAAGGCGCACACTCAGACATGAAGGCAAGGCAGACACGCAGGCACACAAGCAAGCAACAAGCATTTCGACTAAGTCACCTTGAGACAAACATCACAGGCAGTCAGTTAGTCAGTCTGCCGAGGAAGGACGGCAATCGGTCGCTCACAGGACGCACTCATTTCTGTCTGGCTGTCTGTCTGTCTGTCTGTCTGTTTGTCTGTTGGCACATTGTAGGCAAATACATAGGCAATCGGCAGTAGTCTGGCGAAGTGGGAGACCAAGCCAAGCCAAGCCAAGACGAGACAAACTTGGCTGGGCTTCATCTCGTGGAGCGCGGCTTGATCCCTCTCTCCCCTCACTCACTCCCCCGTCCACCCCCTCCCTCATGATTCATTCGGTGGCATCGAGCCCCCCAAACGGCACGAATGGCCTTTCAGCAGCCGCCATCACGCGCCTCACCCGCCGTGCGCTGCAGCTGCGCGATCCCACCTCCTCCTCTCCATCACTGTCCCCGCCGTCGTCGCGCAGCCTCGTGTAGCCGCCAGCAGACATCTCACGCCGCACCACGCCCATCCCCGCCCCCGTGATGTTGCCGAGGCTGCTGCTGCTGCCGTCGTCCCCCTTGATGCGCCCACAGCTTGACCCACAGGGCGATCCGAAGCTGCCCAGCGACCGGGGCGTGCCGTCAGGGCTCCTCTTGGACAGAAGCGGCGCGCTCAGGAGGTCGCGCCGGTTGGAGCTGCTGCTGCCCCATGGGGCGTTGGATGCGACGGTCGAGTCCGAGTCGACAGAGAGGGTGGACTCTGAAGACTTGGACGATCGCAGGGCGCTGTCGTGAATGTGGTGGACACTCAGTGCGTCGGGGCGGCCACACGCAGAGGCGACGTGGCATGGCAGGGGAGAGGGAGCCGGGGAGGGAGAGGGGGAGGGGGAGGGCGAGTGTGAGTGGGGTGGCGAGGGCGGGCAGCCGTCGGTGTCCTGCTGGTTGACGAGTGACGCCAGTCGGGGCAGGGAGGCCACCGACGGCAGCTTGTGGAGGGGCATGTCCGTGGGCGTCTCGAGTTCCATGGTCTCGCCACCCCCGCCGCCGCTGAGCAGCTTGGCGTTGGCAGTCTTCCTGCGGCGCGTAAAGGGCGACGCCGATATCCGGGGGAAGGAGGTGTAGGTGTTGTGGCCCACACCAGTGTCCGCCAGGCCGGCCGTGGTGAGGTTGCTGGCGCTCCGAGTGGTGAGCACCTGCGTCAAACAAACAAGACAACACACACACAGCGATTGTTCAGCACAGAGACAGAAAATTGTTCACCGCACGCACCTGCAGGCGGCCCTCTCGCGTCTCGAAGAGCATGCCGGCGCCAGGCAGTGGTGGTAGGGGAGGGGGGAGGGGTGAGGGGGAGGCCACTGAGATGGATGGCGGTGAGAAGGGGTAGGGGTGGTGTGGGACACCGACACCGACGCAGTGGCCGTGGCTTTTGGATGTGATGATGGGTGGCGGCCGCTGGAGCCTGCGGGCGTCGCAGTGGTACATGAAGGACCCCATCTGCTGGGTCTTGCGCTTCATCTCCAGCTTGTTCTTGGCCATCACTATCGCACGACGGAAACTGATGTCGTGACTGACACAGAAACAAAGAAACAGACACGCACAGCGGATAGAAAGAAACAGTGGGAGTCGTCCGCCGCTCTCCGTGCGCAGCAGTGTCTGTCTGTGAGCGTCTGTCTCACTTGAAGTCCTCAAATATGAGTTGTCTCCTTTCAGGCAGGGGCCTGATGGCGCCCTGGGGCGAGTCAAATGGTGTGGGCGATGGGCTGGCCGAGGGCCACGACAGGGTGGGGGAGGACGCCAGCTGACGGCACCTCGGTTGCCGCTCGGGCACGCGACGATTGATCGTCTGATCGACCCAGCAACAAACAACACGTGCGATTCGCGAGTGTGGTTGTATTGTCCTGGTGTCACTTACCAGTTCGATGCCGTCTTCGACCGTCCTGAAGTCGAGGACGTCCTCCATCCAGAACCACTCAGTGGGTTTCAAGGGCTTGCGCCGGCGACACGCGCGCACTCCCCTGCCGCCCACCGGGGGCGACTCGATGACGTCGCCCTGGCCCTCCACCTCCACCTCGCCCGGCTGCAGCGGGTCGTCGGCGTCTGTCGTCTCGGGTGTGCCCTTGTCGGTGTCGATGGGCGTCGATATGAGCCCGGTGCGGGGAGGGAGGGGGTATGGCTCGCGATAGAACAACAGAGCGCGCGACGTCACCACCAACCAGCGCCTGCACGAGCGGAATGACAACACGACACACACAGCAAATGTGATGGTTCCTCACAAGTGCAGTGGGTATATCAATCAGTGGTTGGTTGTGTTGGTTGCTTTGCTTACCATCTCCACTGTCCCAGGTGTCTGCTTTTCTTGTAAACCCATCCCGACTTGAGCACATTGCTCGAGGAAGGCGGGGCCGGCTGGGGCAGCGGATGCCACCTCTCCTCCACCATCTCATGCACCACACCCTCCACCACCCGACCGATCATGCGCAACGCACCCACGCAGTGAGGACCGGGGGAACCCGGCGGCACCGGCTGACGAGCACCCGACTCGTGCCGCCACCGCCGCCTGTACCCCCTCTCCTCTGCCTCCGTCTGCATCACTCCCTCGGTCGGTGCGCGCTTGTCTGATGTGTCGCGCTGTATCTGTCTCGAGAGGTCTCCTCAGAGGGGCAGCAGGGCCGTCACTGGGTGACGATTCTCATGAGACCCCATAGCTAGCCGGCTGCCGTGCTGCGTCGCGCCTCCCTCCTCGCACCGGATCTCTGCGCCGAGATTGAGAGGTGGGTGGGGTCGTTGGGGAGTAGCTGAGGCGGTGACACAAGAGCAAAAATACCAGCGACAGGGTGGGTGATGACGGGTCAGCAGTCAGAGCGACGCAGTGAGAGTCAGAGAGTCAGATCAGCGAGTCAGTCCTTCAGTCAGCAGGCGGCGAAGGGGAGAGATCTGCTGGCCACACAGGAAGATCAGCGAGTCCTGTCGTCATCTGGAAAAGGTGTTTGAGGAGAGGCCATAAGCTCGCAGGCAGCGGATATGTCGATCTGCGAGCCTTTTCTCAAAGAGGACAGGAAGGAGGAAACAAGAGGGAGGCGGAAGCACGTGCGTGACCAAACTGGCCAAATCAAACAACAAATCGACTCCACGTTCATTCAGTTCATTGATAGGCTGTTCGCTTTGTGTGGGGCTGCTGCTGTCGTGTGGTGCGCCTGTGTTTCCGTGATTGCCTGTGCCTTTGCCTGCGTGGGAATACTATACATATATTGCCGACTCTAGATCAGCTTATGTGCTGGTCGCCCATGCTTCTGTGAAAGCGAATCTGTTCATTAGTTAAACACCTACTCATGCTGAGGCCGAGTCTCCAGAGAGGGCATGAGATAGATGCCCACGCGGGCATCTACCCCGTCCCTCCCTCCCTCCCTCTCTGGTCAGTGCAGACAGCCTAGCTGCCGGTGCTGCCCCCGTCATCCATCACACAGTCCTCATCCACTGGCTGCTGAGACGACCGCTCTCCCCCTCCCCCCTGCTGCTGATCTGGCTGCACAGAGCCCTCTGCCACTTGATCGCCCCCTCCCCTCCCCAGCTCCTCTTCCTCCTGCTGGGACGTCTGCATTGGCTCGTCCGCTGCCTCCTGCGACGCCTCCGCCCTCTCGCCCTCCCCCATGTCGATATCCACATGAGCTCCGACCACCTCATCTTCCTCCTTCGCCTCGTCCGCCATCTCCTCCTGCCCGTCAGCTGCCTCGCCATTGAAGGCCTCCTCACCCTCACCCTCCTCCTCGCCCTCCGCTTGCACCGCATTCTGGTTGTCGAGCGATGGGCTTTCCCGTTCCTCCCTCGCAGACTGTGACTGCGACTGGGAGGCGTCGGGTGATGGCGATGGGGAGGGAGATGGGATCGCGTTCTCGCCCTCGCCCTCCCGACCTTCCCCAGCTCCACCCGCCGATGCGGCAGCGGCTGCTGCTGCTGCCGCTGCGGCCTTGTCTTGTGGTGGGTTCTTCCGTGCCCACTTCTTCCTGACCACCGGTGGCGGCTTTGGGGGCGGTGCGACCCAGAGGCTCTTGTCTTTGGCCATGCGGCGGTAGTGCAGCACCATGTACTTGTCCCGGTCCATCCGGCGCGTCTTGCTGAGAAGAAACAAACGACACACACACACACAAACACAAACACTCGGATGGATGCATGGATGGATGGAGGGGATACGTCGGTGGGTTGGTGCGTTGGTGTGTGTAGGCTCACTTGAGGAACTCGAGAGTGTGCGACCTGGCGCACACCTGCTTCTCACACATGATCTGCACCTGCACGCAACAGAGGGTGGTGGTGAGGGAGAGGGAAGAAGACCACTCAATCGTGCCTGCCTGCCTCTCCACATACCTCTGATGTGTCGTGAAGGTTCATTTTCTTGACGAGGTACTTCATCAGATGGCCAACGGTCATCTGCGAGTTGGTCCGAAGGTAAGGACGGGACAGCGGACCCAGAGAACTGCAGCCACCCAGCCACCACGCGAGACAGACAGAATCGACACATTGCCTGCCTGCCTGCCTGTCTGCCACACTGCCAGCCTCTTTCCTCCATCGGTCTATCTGGTATGGCTTTCTTTATCCGCCTTACTCGTCCTTTGGCAGCAGCATGAAGGTGAGGTCTGACTGGAGCACCTCACGGTAACGACCTGTGTGGGATACAGACACGATGCTCGACGCGTCTGTGTGGATTCTCACGCATGGCGAGTGTCCATACCCTTGACGAGCATCTTGTGCAGCTCTTCCGTCGCCTCGCCGCCGCCAATCTTCTCCTTCGGTGCCGGGGCAGACAAACCTGACCACATCGGTCGGAGAACACGGCACAGCCAACAACACTGCATCATTTGGACAGTCGCTGCTCCTTCGTTCGTGCGTGTGCGTGAGCACACCGTTTTGTTCGGGCACTCCCGGTGAGTCCTCCAGAAGATGATCGAGACCTACACAAACGAACATCACATCCACCACGCCCATGTCCACCTGGCGGCATGTTCGTTCGTTCATCCCATCTATCCGGCTTCCTGACGGACCACAGAATCGGTACAGCCCCTCCCTTTCCTTCTTCTCGCGCTCAGCGAACTCGGGGAACAACTTGTCGACCAAATTCTGAAGCGTCCGGTCAGACCTACAGACATTCATTTATCGCACGAAAGACAAAGACTTGTCGACGGGCAATCACGGGCCACGAGACGCTTTGTGTGTCAGTGAGCTCACTCGACGGCGTCGAATGGCTGCGCCCCCAGGTCCTCTCCGCAGCTGCACCAACCGAAGCAGACACATAGAACACACCGGCGATGGAGTGGGTGTGTGCAGAGCGTGGTGTCAGTGCTGCTCGCTGACTCAGGGTAGGGGCAGTAGCACTTCTTCCTGAGGTCCTGCTTGGACAGGTACCCATAGATGCAGCTCTTGCAAACTGCACACATACAGTACACAGATCCCATCCCATCCTCTCGATCGTGACATGATCCGATTCAGGGAGTGCAGCGACCCACATGTGTGGAGGCACTCCTTGACGGTCATGGCATCCTTGAAGAACCCTCCACACATGCGGCACGTCAGCAGATCTGCCAACACGCGGACACGAAACTCCACCTGACACACAATCACACACACCACACAGCGACGTGATCTCTCGCTTCATCAGCTGTCTTTGCCGTTGCCATATGTGCTGGTGTGATCTGGCCGCATGTGGTACGTACGTCGAGTTCGTCGTTGGTTTGGTAGGTCTTGACGTCCTCCTGCTGGTCAAAGTTCGGCTCCTCCTCGGCCGACTGCTGACTCTCGTCATTCTCCTTCCGCTTCCGAGACATCAGAGATGGATAAATGGACGGATGGATGCCAACGCGCCACAGCTGAGGCGTCGGTCGTCCCTGGCCTCCTGGCTCCTTGTCGGGCGTTAGAGAGAGAGCGGTTTCACGGAAGTTTTGCGAGAAGATCCGCCTCAACAGGTAGGTCAGCTGCCTTCACACCAAATCCATCCTCGAACCATCCAATGGCAAACAGCATCTTGTTGTTTTGTCTGTGCGTCTGGCATCTTTGCAGATCCTTGAGTGGCCTTTGACTGAGGTGCGATGGGCAACACCGTCCCGCGGAGGACCACCGACGAGGCCTCGCCGTCCGTCCACGGCCAGTGCCTCGACTTCATTCACCGGGACGATAGATACCAGCTCTACGACGAGGCCAAGGACATCGGCCGCCTCAGGACCGCGGCCCGCTTCGTCGGCAATGACCACTTCCCTGCCCAGACGCTCCGCAGCCGACTGAATTGGTCACTCCATCGCATTCGGCTTGCCGATGGGACCCCGCTGGACACCGTGATAGCCTTCGACCCACAGTCGGTGACCGAGAAGCGGCTGCTGGTGGCAGCCATGTGGATGGTGGAGCAGCAGAGCTGGGATGAGGTGGCTGAGGTGCTGCGGTGGGCCAGCCAGTGTGCATGCTGCACGCTGCCCGTCAACATCACTGCGGCCGACATCAACAAACACGCCGACAAGACGGTGGGACTCACAGGGCGGGAGGGAGGAGGAGAAATGGCCTCATTTGCTCATCCATGTGTGTGTGTGTGTGTTGTGTGTGTGTAGGTGTATGTATCGCTTCCCCGTGTGTTGGCGCAGCTGATGGTGGTGGGGCGTCACATTGACTTCGGTGACGGCAGCCGGCTGCAGCTGTTCCGCCATGGCCATCATGTGCGGGCCATCAATGACGAGCCCGGCTACCGGCTGGACTTCAATCCGCCCCTCCCGCCCGGCCACCTGTACCTGCAGCGCCGACTACAGGACGACCCGCCAGTGCATAACGTCATCTTCTACTACTCCGGAAGATGGTGGAGTGCGGGATACTTCACTTATTCGTCGCTGTCCTCGTGCACCAAGCGTTTGATCCTCAGCCACTTCGTTGATGACTCACCAGACCAATTTCACAACGAAATATCTCGACAGGTAAGCCACCGATGGCACCAGTGGGTGAGAGGGGTGGGTGTCTGATTGTGTGTGTGTGTGTGGTGTTGTTGTTTTAGGTATGTTGGCGGCGGTCGTCTGCATGCCCTCCTCAACCAGTCGCCCCACACACCGGTGGACGGATGCACCACCACATTCAGCCAGCACGGTGGTCGATACCCGGTGCTCACCAACAACAGCCACAACTTCGTCGCATGGATTGTCATCTGGGACAGGGGCAACAACAGAGGTCAGGTCGACAGACAGGAAGCTCTGGTAGTCACGTGTATGCCACTAATGTTCTCTACCTTGTGTGTCTGCAGTCGTGGTGACTGTGTGGACGACCGAGGCTGCTGCATCTGGTGAGGGTGCTGCATTCAAGGACCGCTTCCCCCAGACGACCGCCCTGGCTCGTGCGGCGCTGGAGGCTGTGGGGCCTGACATGTTCGACAGACAACAGCCTCAGCCGCAGCCACAGCAGCAGGGGGGTGACGACGGTGACGATGGTATGGACAGACAGAGGGCGGGTGGGAGGGACACACACATGAGAATGGATGGATGGATGTGCCCTCCCTCTCTGTCTGTGTGGTGTAGATGAAGACGGCCACGGTGAGGGTGAGGGTGACGACGATGACGGTGGGGAGAGAGCAATGCACACACACACACACACACACGTGTGGATGGATGGTGCAGATGGAGACGTTGATGAGGGCGATGACGATGACGATGATATGGATCCCAACGACGTACAAGACGGCAACGGATGTACGCACCACAGCACAGCACAGATCCCCTGGCTCCTGTCGATCTGCCTCACTTGTGTCTGATTGTGTGTATGTGTGTGTGTCTGTGTTGATCAGGTAGCGGCGAGTACTCGGAGTGACTCGTGAGGCGGACACGGCAATGGAGGCAAGAGGGGCTGTCGAGGCCGTCGAGTGCCCACATACAGACAGTGTGATGATAAGTGCATTGGTGCCTGGGGGTGCAGAAGAGATGGTCTTCATGGCTGGCTGTTGGGGGCTATAGTGTGTGAGAGTGCGGCCGTCTGTGTAGAAGAATTGAGCAGCCCACTAGCTGAGCCGCTGCATGTGGGTCTACTCGCTGGTGTTGTTTTGGCGGTGAGAATGCGAGGCGCCACACAGACCCATGTGGACTGTCTGACGAGGGAGGGAGCAGACCAGGGAGGCAGACAGCACGGTCCCTCACCTTGTTTTCCAACACACACAGAGCATCCTCTCTCTCCCTCTCTCTCTCTCTCATCCGTCCGTCCACTCTTTGTGTACAGCACAGCACGTGTGAGGGCTTTGATGGATGGATCTTTGTGTTTGGGTCGGGCCACCTGTGCTGATGGGCGCAATCGACCGGTTGCAGCGCTTATCCGTCTTTGCATGAGGGGTGTGTTGGTATCCCGGCCACACACAGAGACAGATGACAGAAGAGCGCACCGCCAACCGATGTAGGACCACTTGCTGACAGACAAAGAGGGAGGGAGGGAGGGAATGGTGTTAGCAAAACCATCCATCCATCCATCTATCTGTGGCGCATTGTTTGCTCCATACAGACAGACATGGCAGTGTGTGTTTCACATTGATTGCCCATCCTCTCACACTTCACCACACCACGCAGACAGACCGCTGCCATGCAGTCAGTTATTTTTGCCTTACTGTCGGTCGGGGCGGCTTCCTCTCTCTCTGTGTGTGTGTGTCGCTTTAAGTTCATATCTGTGTGACCCCTGCATGGCACTCGGTACGGTCGCCGAGGCGCTTTTGCTGAGGGCTTTCGCGTGCACAGCCACACACACTGACTGGAGTGATGCGCTCCAATCCTCCTTACTGCTCGTGGTGTGGGGATGGATGGCCATGTGCTCGTCTCTGCTGCCTTGACTGCCTCAGTTTGGCTCTCTCCCGTCCCCCTCCCTCTCTCCCTCTGTCAGTCTGTCTGTCTGTCCCTCTGTCTGTGTCCATATGTGTATGTCCGTTTTGTATGTCCTCTCAATACAGACGGATGTACACACACACACATATGTATGTATGTCCATCGCGGATGGATTCCTGCGTCCATGGCCTCCTTCTCGGACTGTGTGGCCTGTTCATGGCTTCCCCTCTGCTGACGATGGCTGGCTTTCCTCTCTCTCTCTCTCTGTGCGTATGTGTGATGCATGCTGACTTGCGTCTCATCAACTTTTTCGCTGATGCAATGGAATCGATCATCGTGGTGGCGGCGTCGAGACTGGGGGCAGATGGGGGTGCAAGCTTGGATGGAGTCTCCAAGTTCGTCGTGAATCGCCTCAGCTGGCGTGCACAGAAAGGGCCCTTTCACTCCTTCCTTCTCTTGTCGGCGAGATTTCTCGACGCGAGAGACAAGACAGTTTATTTGATGAATGCAACCTATTTCGTCAGCACCGCCGCGCTTTTCCTCCTCAGCGGCCTTCTTGCGGCCACAGCTCCTCCATTTCCTTTCCTCTCGGGCTGCTTGTCGTCCCATGTGGCTCGCCGAAGCCCCTCCCAAGCCCTCCAGCTCGTCCGGATGTCAGCTGTCACTTCTTCCTTGCGCCTCCAGCTGACGGGCAGCCCCTCAGACCTTGGTGCCCTACCACCTACCCAGACTGGCGCCTGCCTGGCGACTGTTGAGAGCCTGGCGACTGTTGAGAGCACGGTGTCCTTTCTCCCTCGCGGAAGCCTCCATCAGGTCAGTGCGTGTGGCTTATGTGGGAGGCCTATGTGCGCGTGCGCCCGTCCGTCTGTGGCCACTCCTGACGTGTGCGCTCATCTCATGCATTGCTCTACTGCGTGTGTGTGCAGATGAGTTCTCGACAGGCCGTCTCATCGATAAAGGTGGTAGTGTATCAGTAAGTCGAGTTGTCATTGTGCAATGTCGAAGTCGCTTTTACTACGCTGCCCCGCAGCAATATATGTTTCCAGAGGCTGCGCAGGCCCACCTCTGCCCTTCAATTTGTTTCCTCAGCGTAGCGACACTGACCGTCGACCTGACATCCGTCGAGCCAGTCGATGCAGTGACAAATAGGTACCCAAAGTCAGAGCACTCGTCGCTTTGTCCTTTCCTGTGTGCAGGAGGAGAGCTTGTATCTGAGAGCTCGATCAGTATCCTGGATGTAGTGCCTGGATGTCACACCGCGACGACTCGGCAAGCCCCGACAATGAAGAAGACAAGAACGACGGCAGCGGTGGTGGCAAAGGCAAGAATGCCCGATGGCTGGAAAACTGCATTGCGGCATTCCCGCGCACCCACCGGTGGCTCCTGGACAAGTTCCCGAAGACAACGGCTACGTTGGGCCTGGTACGATGAATAGATAGATACCCACGTGAATTGGTGTATGCCTGTCTTATCTCCCCTATGTGCAGAGGGAGCCGCCCCCCAAACCAGAGCAGGCGGCGCCCTACCCGCCACCACCACCTTCAAAATCAAGCGGACCGCTGCCCAGGACTAGAACACTTCTGCTCTCAACTTTCCCAAATACGGTAAAACATCTAAAATTGGTAGGATGCTGCACACACATTGAAGCAACACTCCTGTGCCGTTCCGTCCCTCTCATCACAGGCGCCAGCACCAGCACCCCCTGCGCCACAGGCGGCCGATGGAGACCAACAGCAAGCGGGAGCTGCAGCAGATGCCGCCATGGACGTGCTTCAACCGTCAAGGTGAGTCAGGCATGGAGACAGGGAGGGAGGGAGGGACGGAGGGAGGGACGGAGGGAGGGAGGGACACAGCAGAAGCAAGAATGACCTTGCAACTGTGGACGGCACACGCCCAGGAAACGGCCATCACACCGGCGGCCGCTGATGTCTTTCGGGAACTGACGCAGCAGGACACGCTGTGGCCGCGCACCTACCAGTACATCCTCAACAATTTCCCAACACAACAGCCAAGTTGGGACTGGTACGATGAATAGATAGATACCCACGTGAATTAGTGTATGCCTGTCTTATCTCCCTTAGGTGCAGAGGCACCCGCCGCCCGAACGAGAGCAGGTGGCACCACCATACCCACCACCACCGCCATCACACGCCACGGCCGGGACGCTGCCCAGGACAAGGGCTTGGCTGCTTGGAACTTTCAAGAATACGGCCAAACACCTAGGACGGGTAGGATGCTGCACACACATTGAAGCAACAATTGTTCACATGGAGACAGAAGTGACGTGGAATACTCTCGCTGCTGCAGTACCCAAGAAGGAGGCATCGCAGGCAGGGGTCGGGGAGGGCGAGAGTGCTGCGGCGGGGGCCCTCTCGCCGGCGCCACCCCGGCCGAGTGTGACAGAGGAGGGGAAGAAGTGGTCGACGGACGCCAATCTTCAGCAGCAGCAGCAGCAGCGGAGGGAAGAGCGTGTCGATGAAGAGAGAGAGGATGTAAGAATCCCTTCCACCTCCACTCACAGACAGACACCGAGAGACATTGATTCATCTCTGGTGTATTCCACAAATGCAGGAAGAGGCGGAGGAAACCGGTGGCAACGGCGACCTCGAGGCCCGACCTCTTGGCCCCAACGAGCCCCCCGACCCCCTGCCGACAAAGCCGCGAAGAGTCCCTATCTTGCCGCTGCCCGAGACGGTGCTGTGTGCCGTGGGTGCGGGGGGAAGGGGGCAGCAGCAGCCGCCGCAACAGCCACACCCACAGCCACAGCAGCAGCCGCCGCCACAGCTACACCCACACCCACACCCACAGCCACAGCCACAGCCACAGCAGCAGCCACAGGCTGCCGACGTCAAAGGTTCGCACACACACACACACATACACACACACACATACACACACATCCCCCGCAACACAGCCATCTCTCCACCTGTCCATGTGTGTGTGTATGTCTCTCTCTCTGTGTGTGCGCCCCTCCCTCCCCCCTCGCCCTCTCACCCATTACCTCACGTCAGCCATGGTAGAGTATTGGCTGCAGCAGCACGAGGCCCGGGCCGCACAGCAGCAGCAGCACCGGCAGCAGATACGGCAGATGATGCAGCAGCAGGCCGAGATGCAGCAGCAGGCGCTGAATTGGATGCAGCAGCAGCAGGCGCTGCTCAGACAGCACCCAATCTTCTGGCGCCACCTCTACAACCGGGGTATGTACCACACACATGCTCACGGACAGATGGACAGGCGGACGGACAGACATGAGAGCGTGACTGTTTCTCTCTCTCTGTGTGTGCGTGTGTGTATGTGTGTGATCAGGTGACGACGAGGCTGACTGGTGAATGACGACGTGCGGTTTAAGTGTTGTGTGTAGTGTATGTGTGAGAATGCAGCACCGACTACAGGACGACCCGCCAGTGGACAGTGGCATCCTTTATGACAACTACAACGGCAGCTGGAGGAGTAGGTATTGCTCCGACTGCACTGGTGCGTCGGTGTCGTCGTCCGCCAAGGACTTGATCCTCAACCACTTCGAGAGGACTCACCAGAGAAATCGCACAACGAAATACCCCAACAGGTAACCCACCGATGGCACCAGTGGTGAGAGGGGTGGGTGTCTGATTGTGTGCGTGTGGTGTGGTTGCTTCAGGTATGTTGGCGGCCGTCGTCTGCATGCCCGTGCGCACGTGTGCCTCGTGTTTGTGTGCCCTTCAGGCGTCTCTTTCACCAATGGCTGCCTACATTTTATATTCGACAAGCTCTTCAAATGTCGCCGGCCACGTACGCCATCCACAAGGTTTGCAAGATTGACTGGTCGTCGGAAGGCCTCCCTCTCTCATTGTGTCTGCATTCTCTGTCGGCATTGCCCGACCCCTCCAGGAGCAATGCCGACACAGCACAATCTCATCGGTTTGGCTTCTTCACGGCGGTAAGGGACGGTGACAGAGATTGCGAAGGCAGTGACAGTGTCGGCGACGGAGTCCGTGACGCGCGGGGCTCTGTCTGTGTACCTCTTCAGGGGGAATTGCTGCCTACGTTTTATATTTGGTGACGGTGGGTTCCATCTCTCTGCGCCCGTCAGCCACCAAGACGGAACGAAAGCGACGAAGTGGCTGACGGGATTGCCTCTCACCATACTGATCATCGCACCCTCTGATGAGCAGCTGGAGAGCCTTATTGGCAAGGAAAGTCTTCCCATCTCCAGCATTGTCCACCTGGAGCCGCTGGGGCGGTCAGATGCGAAGTACGCGGCCCTTGACGAGCACCTGTTCCGGGCACTTGACGACTTTATCACCAAGGGAGGCAAAGCGCCAGATACCAGTTTCTTCGTCATCCCCAATTGCGCAACCGCCCTTTACTCGCGAGCAGCAGGTACGGAACACATCAGACAAGAATCCATTCACAGATCATCTCTGTGTCTGTCGGTGTCTCTGTTTGTCTGTCCGTGTGTCTGTCTGTCAGCAAGAAACTCGGGATGAGCGGGATGAAATTGATCGCTCGATGGAAGATGGGCATTGGGCATTGCTGCCTCCACTTTATATTTGTTGGTTCTTCTCGTCCATCACCCGACGTGTGTGCGTATGTCAGGTGAGTGAATCTTCGTGTACTCACACACGCGCCTCTGTGTCTCTGGTGGCCATCCGTCTCAGGGGACTGTGTTGGGTATGTCAAGACCGAGCAGGAGATCAAGGCTGAGCTGTTGTCACGGACGACGGCCCTCAGACGAGCTCGATGTCTCTTTCTTCGAGTGCGTATACAGAGAGATACCAATGAGTGGACACCAATGAGCGAAGAGCGACGGGTGAGCGCTGCACTCTTGCAGACAGCACGATTACATCGCATGAGAGCCCATCCATCCATCAATCATGCTCTTTGCCTTTTCTTGGGGCCTCGTGTGGGAATGCTTTGTGCCAACAGACGGGCGCCGCACACTGCAGGTCATGACAACGGTCGGCTTCAGTTCTTTGCCAACGTCACGCCACTCGCGGCCGAATCCTCTCTGCCCCCAGACGGTCCGTCTCTCTCTGTCAACTCCCACCAAGCTCTCTCTCTGCAGCCTCTGTTCGTCGGTAAGAAGCCCAGTCTTGGTGTGCCTCTGTTTCAGTCTTTGTGTGCCTCTCTTCCGGAACACAGAGACGATGGGGAACCTGTTATCGGGGCTGCTGTTCCGAAGCTCATCATGAAAACTCGGTCAGCGAGTTTGTCCCACAAGACAAGCGCCAGGTAGTGAGAGTATGGCTTGGACGAGCCACTACACGTGTTTGCCCTGTATGTCTCCGACAAACCCCACCGTCTTCATGGACATCACCATCGGCCAAGATATGGCGGGCCGGCTGAAGATGGCGACAACTGATACGCTCCCGTCGTCTCTCGTCCTTTGCTCCACGGTCTGCTTCAGTTGTTTGCCAACATCACACCACTGACGGCCGAGAACTTTCGGGCATTATGCACAGCAGAGAGAGGGATTGGCTCGTCGGGGAGACCACTGAATTACCGGTAATAAAAGGCCAACAGGGCCAACCAAAGTTGTCTCCCAAGTGACGTTTGCTTCGGTTATAGGGGATGCGTTTGGCGTATTAATCGAGACGTGTTTGCAAGTACACAACGAGGAACGGTCTGAATGTGAAAGGATATCTTTGTTGTCAGGCGGCGACATCGTCTACAATACGATGGACCCGGACAACGGCGACTCCATCTATGGCCCATTCTTCCCCGACGAGAATTTTCGTATCCCACACGACAGGAGGTATCTACTCTCCATGTCAAACACAGGTACGAAAGAGCGACATACAAACCTCATCGGAAGTATGTGGGTGTGACACGCAGGGCCAAACAGGAACAACAGCCAATTCTTCATCACAAACAGAGCATACCCATATCTCGACGGCAAGTGCGTCGTATTCGGCAGGGTAAAGCTTGGATATGCACCGGGACGTGCGGGCGATTGTCGGGCGAGGCAAGAGAGAAAGAACAAGTGGTGCATCACACCATTCGTGCTGGTTGCAGGATCTTTCTCGTGCACAGATGAGGCCCAGCATGCACCACTCGCCTACATCGCGTCTGTGCTGATGGGGGATGTCGACAACGCCACGCGACAGGCCTACTTAGATCTGGTCAGCCATTGAGCGTAGGGTGTCGCTGTCTTTTCTCACTATTTCTCCTGCCTGCGTCAGACCGGGACCGGTCGTTGGGAGGCAGCCATGCCAAATTGGCTTGGAGACCAGTTCTCGTAAGGCCATTGAGTGACAGACGAAGCAGACTATCGCGCTTTTTGTCATTTGTGTGTGCAGATCGCTGGATGCCGAGTTTGGCGTGGGTGCAGGAGGTCTGTCATCGCAGCAAAAGGAGCCTTATGGGCATGGACACTGTTGTTGGATTTCTACAAACCGTAGGCAAAAGTGGACTGACCATGTGTCTGTCAGTCTGTGTGCATGGCCCTCGTGTATCCATGTATGTGTGTATCTGTGCATGTTCGTGTGTGTGTGTGTGTGTGCGTCAGGTCGAGCATGAGCTCCATGATTCAGAGGAGGACATTCTGCTAGGTAAGCAACATGCAAGCACATGTGTGGATGCCTTATCTGCTCGAGCAGTGGTGGTAAGCGCGAGAATTTCTTCAGCGGGAAAGCAGACGAAGATGCAGACCAACATGCTCACGCCCACAAGGCTGTACAAGAGGAAATAACCTATCTCATCAGGAGCCGGCACAAACGCATAGAAGTACACACACACACGCACACAGACGGAGAGGAGAGGAGAGGAAGGCACGGGGCTCTGTCTGTGTACCTCTTCAGGCGGAATTGCTGCCTACGTTTTATATTTGGTGACGTTGCGGTTCCATCCACCAACAAGGCAAACATCTCGGTCTACTCACAGGTGAGCCATTCCATTCATTGATGCTGAGGGAATTCTACGGGTCGCCTTTCACTCACTTGACCAGCGTGGAGAACAACGGCCAATGGGAAAAGATGAGGGACAGCTTGTGCAAAGATGAGGACCTGCTGGTCGGTTGAATGCACTCGTAATTAGTCAGATGACATTGTATGCTGCGCATGTGGGGTTGCTGCAGAAGAGACTCCCACCGGTGATCAGAGACTGCTTTCGCCTCAGCACCGCGTCAGTGGAGGAAATCCTGATTGTCATGACACTGACGCGGGCTTATTCTCCCCTCTGTGTTCTGCAGTCTGCGCGAAGACAACTATCAGCTGGCCGTCGATATCATGACATCTGATGTGCACAAGTATGCACAACTTGGACGAGTACATGGAAGCACTGCTAATGCCTCTTTTCGTTCCTTTAGTTCGGTGCCGTTGGGTGAGCTGATGTGGGCGGGAGCCAGCACAGCTGAGGGCGATCTGCTGCCGGGGCTCAGGAGGTGGAGGGCGCACCACTTGGTGTGGCCATTTCTTGCTGCGCGGCGCTTCCATGACGTGCGGGCGATTGTCGGGCGAGGCAAGAGAGAAAGAACAAGTGGTGCATCACACCATTCGTGCTGGTTGCAGGATCTTTCTCGTGCACAGATGAGGCCCAGCATGCACCACTCGCCTACATCGCGTCTGTGCTGATGGGGGATGTCGACAAGGTCACGCGACAGGCCTACTTAGATCTGGTCAGCCATTGAGCGTGGAGTGTCGCTCTCTTTTCTCACTGTTTCTCCTGGCTGCGTCAGACCGGGACAGGTCATTGGGAGGCAACCATGCTAAATCGGCTTGGAGACCAGCCGTCGTAAGGCCATTGAGTGACAGACGAACCAGACTATCACGCTTTTCTGTCATTTGTGTGTGCAGACCGCTGGATGCCGAGCTGGCGTGGGTGCAAGAGGTCTGTCATCGCGGCCAATGGACCCTCATGGGCATGGCCACTGTTGTTCGATTCCTACGAACCGTAGGCAAAACTTGACAGACCATGTTTCTGTCAGTCTGTGTGTATGTGCCTCGTGTATCCATGTATGTATGTATCTGTGCATGTGTGTGTGTATGTGTGTGTGTGTGTCAGGGCGAGCATGAGCTCCGTGATTCGAAGGAGGACATCACCCGGTGGGCCGTGGCAGCCATACTGCTGGGTAAGATAGCCATACAGCCGCTGCACAACATGCAAGCACATATGTGGACGCCTTATCTGCTTGAGCAGTGGTGGCCAATTTGAGCAGCCAAGCAGACGAAGGTGCAGACGAAGATGCAGAGGAACACGCCCACGCCCACAAGGCTCTACAAGAGGAAATGACCTACCTCATCAGGAGCCGGCACCAACGCATAGAAGTACACACACACACGCACACACACACACACACACAGACGGAGAGAGAGAGAGGAGAGGAGAGGAAAGGATGTACAGTGAGAAAAGAGACAGAGCTGCAGCCGATGATAAGCATGACGATATGTGCTTTCAGAATGACTGGATTCTTCCTCTCATGTGGCTGTGCCTGGCAACCCACAACATCGAGTTCAACGACCACCATCGTGCTCGACTATTCGTAGCCATCGCCAGACAGTAATGTGGCCCAGAAGGAATACCAAACTGACCCAGGGGTCATCAGCTGGTGTCTGCTGCAGAGAGATACCTGCTATCATTTGTCCGTTGTTGAGAGCTCAGCTCGAAGAGAGGGCTGAAGAATGTGAGTGAGACAGAAAATTACGTCTCTACCCAGCAAGAGACTTTGATGGATGCTTGCGTTCATTTCTGATGAACTCTGTTTCTCTCTGCAGTGCAGGATGAAGTTGGCCTGCTTTGCCTTCCCCTTCCCCAGGCTCCTTCGCAGCTGCCTGCTGCGCTTCTCGAGCCCCTCCCACGCCTCGCTGCGCTTCGCGATGGTGAGTGCGGATGTACTAAATGCATCACGTATTTTCAGATGTGATGGTCTTTTTTGTCTGTGTATCAAAAACGCGGGCAGCTGATTGATAGATTGTGCCTGTGGTTGGACGATGTCGTGCACCATTGTCATTGACAGAAAAGCATTGAGTCCGTTGTGTGTCTCACATCATGTCCATCTTTGTACGCAGACACAATGAAAAGACACAATGAAAACTCTGCCATCATGCATTCGGAAGCGAAAAATTGGCAGTCATCTGTAAGCCGCTGTAGCACAACTCGCCAAGAAAACCGATGAAAAAGGATCGTGCAGACCTACAGAGGCATAGCACATTTGCAGAAGACGCAAAAAAAGCCAGACGATAGATCTAGAGGAACTGGGCATGGATGGGCGGTACGTCGGAGCAGACATGCAGAGAGAGCCTTCCAGCTGCTCTGTCCTACTGTGTTGGAGGCCTGACGAATGGGACAGCGAGGCGACGTAGCGGGGAAGGATGGTATCGTCGCTGGATGATGAGTCGCGGCGGTGGTGTCGAATCCCGCAGACGGCCCCTGACAGCCGACCGCACACGGTCAAACAAGACCACACCTATCCTGTGGAAATGTCGAAGAGAATGGACAATCAATGACAGGCATCGTGAACGCAGTCAGCAAGTGCCGTTCCTATCTCTCAAAGTGGTGTCCTGACCGGTCTGGTTCCTCCTTTCTCGGCTTCACATTCTCGAGAGGTTTCGGTGCTGGCCGTACCGATGCCAACGGCGGGCTGAGGTGACTTGTTGCCACTGTAATGCTCCCCATGTCGAACCACCTGCGGAGCATACACACTGCATGACTGTCATGTGTGCGGCAAGAGTTTCAGTACCGGTGTGCAGACTCTTGGAAGCCTTCCAGACTCCCACCAGTCTGCCGCGGATCTGCTGAGTCAAGGGCAACCCGCTGGTGCTGTCGAGGCTTCAGATCAGCCCGACGCTGCTGGTCCTCTTCGTCGACGGACGAATCGGATTGACACACGTCAGACGATCCACACAAACACACAATGGCCATCCTGCAGGAGAAACAAACCATCACATGTCCTGTGCAGTCTGATGTGCAGATACCTGTTCCACCCGAGGATGGATACAAGCGACTGGCACCTCAATCGCCGTGACATGGATCTGCTGAGAAGAGACCTCGGTGAAGGGCTGCCTGTGTTCGATGTCTCTCCATCGGACTCCAATGCGTTGCCAATGAGTGCCTGAAGGGTAAAATGACAGAGAATCCACACAATGAACCGATCATTTGAAGGGCGATGCGTCGGATCTCGAGCTCAACCTTGGCTACATGATCGGCAAGTTCCAGCAGGTGAAGTCCCTCGAGGCTCAGCGCGCCAAGATGAACGAACAATACGCCGTCCAGGCCATCCTGCCCAAGCAGGCATACCAACGACCACTCGCTTTGATCAATCTGCAACAGGACAACGAAGCAAACAAAAGCTTCTCTGCGATTCAGCAGCTGTTGCGCAATCACTGTGATCAGAGCCTACCCCATTCTGGTCTCTCCGGCAACGACGTGTCATCCCTGACATACACAGAGGCACACACAGAGACAAAAACGCATACACAAATTGAATGAAGATCATCGCCAGCACACCGCTGTCCGTTGAGTCATTGGTGCTGTCGGTTAGCGCGTCCCCTGGAGACACATGCGAGGACACAGACACACCAGGACGATGCGTCAGAGGCCTGCTATGAATGTTTACGAGATGAAAGTAAAGAATACTTGAACAAGGACGAGGTTGGCGTGCTCCTGGCCAGAAGTAAGCCGCACGAAAAAAAACACTGCAAAAGCGGACATGTGGTCTTACTCTGCACTCACCGTGACAAGGCAAGAGAAAAAAGACAGCAGGCTATGGGAGAATGAGAGAAAGAAAGAAAGAAAGAAAGAAAGGAAGCAAGAGAGAGAGAGAGAGAAAGCAAGTGAGCAAGAAAGGAAGAGACAAGCATAGAAGTAGACGATAACAGCAGGAAAGCCCCAGCAAAGAAACAACAAACAAGGAGGTAGCCGTCTCCGCATGCACGTGCACTGGACCATCAGAGAGACAAGAATGTCACACACGAGACGTGATGTCGGCCTCACAGGGGCACCAAAAAGAGCCCTTCAGCAAAAAGTCCCTCTCATCACTCATCACTGACCCTTTACTTCCTCACACCGGCTCTCTCCTCCCATCCACGAGCGCCAGCACGAGCAAATCCACGCCCACACTGTCCGGCAGCCGCGGCACACTCCTTCACGACATGACCAGATAAATTCCCAGATCCGCTGGCACATCGATGGGCGATGGCTAGGAGATGGCAGCAAAGGAGTGCTCGCTATCTCTGTCACTTGCTGAGGAGCCTTTATGTGAGGCTTCACGCTGTTGGCTGGCGGCGGCAAACAGCACGTCACTGATGCGCGAGGGTGTCCAAGTAGGCGGGGTGTGGAAGCCTCTGAAGCCGAGGGGCTGTCGACCGGAGTGCAGGCGTGTAGCAGCGGTGACATGGGCATGGGGGACGGGCGAAGGGGTGGGGTCATGAGCGGCGAAGGTCGTCGGTACAAGTCTGACGGGCGATTCGTTACCTCCGCCTCTGCAGTTCACACGTAAGAAATCGGCCTCATATGAAGAGTCTCTTGTGGGTTCCTGCACACCTCCAGAACAATCTGACGCTAGCTCCTCGATTTTTTGGCGGCCCTCCGGGCTGCGAAACCGTTCTGCAGAACACACAACAACATGATAAGTATACATGCATCGCTCATGCTTGCCCCACTTTTGAAAAGTTCTCCCAGCCGATAGTCTTCAGCAAACTCTGGATCGGTAGAAAGTCTTTTCTCTGTGGATTGAGAAATACACAGACACGCACAGACCAAACAAATACACAATGCGTGGAGCGGCCTCGCTCGGCCTCGCACGTACCTAGCTCCCTTCGCTGCCGGTTTTCTCTCATTTTCTTGACTTGCTCCTCAATAGTGTGTAGCCCGCAATAAGGCTCTTCTCCGCGGTTGTAGACCTTGCGAGTGAAAGGATCAACCACCTTCCGGGGCCCCCTGTCGGGGGAGAGGCCGTCCTCCAGCGTGTAGTAAGGACGCTGGGCAGCTCGCGGCCGCCCGCTCTCTTCTGTGCTGGGCAATGACAGCATGAATCAAACGGAAACTAATGAACCCCACTGAAGCTAAGCTTGCAGATCGCCGCATTTGGATCGCCGACCCAAATTGCGCATGAGACCGCCCACGTTCGCCAGCGTCGCTGCTCCAGCCTCGGCTGATCCTCCAGACGTCCTCAGACAATCAGCTTCTGAAGTGGACGTCACGACGAATTACAAAAGGCCAGCGGAGTCATCGGAGCATCAATCGGAGGCTCAAGGAGATGACGAGGGCGGTGCTCGGCTATCAGGCGTGTCCACCGCGGTCTCAACACCGAACTCCACCCCAGTGGACGGCCGGGCTCCACCTGGCGACGGGGATGCTTCGCCTGAGGGTGATCTGTGGGGCTTTCTGGTGCTGCGGATTGGCTGTGTGACCTTGTGGCTGACGGACTACCCTGTGAGGCATTTCCTTCTCATCATCGGCCTCCTCCTGATCTATGCAGTCTACTGGTCGGGCGGTATTGTCTACCTTCTTGTTATCCTTGGGTACCCGGCGTTGGGGATTCCCAGTTTGCCTGACTGGTCGCTGGCGATTGTGAGTTTCGCAGCGCTGTCCCTGATGCTCTTGATTGGATTGGGAAGTCTGTGCGCACCGCCTCTTTGGTGGGGCATCCGATGCGTCATCTATTTCTTGATTGTCCTCATTGTCCTCTCCGGGTTCATGTTCAGTTCGGTTTACATATCAGTGCTACCCGATTCCTTTGGCCCCGGCCGCTTCGGCGCACTGGCGTGGGTGGCTGGTGCGGCCCTTCTGCAGTTCACTTTGCTAATTGCCATCTCGGAGCCGCGCGTTATCAGTGCATCGACCACACCGACGGGTGAAAAGGAAATCGACGTCGATCACAAGCGGCTCTCATGCTGCGGCCGCCGGGCAGGGTGGAGACCCTCACCGACGGCCGAGCGCATAGCCAAGGCCCGGCAGACAGAGCCCTTTCTGTACCGCTTGGTGGTCAAGCGGTGGCTCAAACGGATGGACTTCCTCACCTTTGTTCGCCTGTACAAACTTCTGGCCGTCGTGGGGATGGCCGTGGACTTCGTCACTGATGCAGCGGTGGGAGTGGAAATGCTCTTCGGGTCGCAAGGCCTACGAGAAGAGCAGGGCCATATAGTTGTCGGCAGCGTCATCCTGGGTTTATCGCTGGCTGACTTCGTATCGCTGTTCATCCACTACGGCATCCGCGGCCCTCCCTCCCTTTGCCAGCACATCTGGATTGCGGCCCTAGCCCTGCTGGAAGTGCCCATTTTGGTGCTGACGATCCTGTGGGCGACGGAGGCCAGCAATGCGATGCTGTTCGTTGTGTCTGCCTTCTTCACTCTTGTGACGATTCTCTCTCGAGTCGGGCCGTTTGCATGGAGCATCTATGTGCGGCGAAAGGTCCGGACGGCTGCAAGGAATGCTCACGAGGTGAGCAATGAAGAGCGAGCCGAAAGCGACAGTGAAGCCAGGAAAATATCTCGTGTCTTCTTGTTCGTATGTCTGACAATTGTCAGGGAGAGCCATCGGTCGTATGACGGACGGCACGCTGTTGGGCACCTATGTGTACAGGGGAGTTGTGGTGTTGCCTGCTGATAAGGGGCTGGCTATCCATTTTCCTTCCGGTCAATCGGACACAGACGGAGGGACCCAAACGATCGGTCACCGTGGGAGAATGTGGGTCGGCCCTGTGCGGATGTGTGTGCAGATGTATGCCTGGCAGTCAGTCAGTCAGATGCTTGTTGGCATTTTGCAAAAGAGAGGTGTAGTTTCACGTCTTTCAGTCGGCTGCGCAGTCTTGCCCTAGTTGAGGCGCCTTTTCTTTTCTTTTGGCCATCAAAATGAAGAGATGCATGTCCAAGTTGTGTAGTTTCATGCCTTGCTTTCGGCTCGGCTGCTTAGTCTTGCCTCATCGACGGGCATGTCATGTCACGTGTGGAGTCGTTACGTTCTTGTATGTCTCTACCTGAATGGAATGGATGGCAGTCTGTACGGAGCGTTCATGTGCACCGTCCTGACCCAGACATCTATGCCCCATGTGTAGGTAAGTGATCTACGGCCATGTCTGCCTGCCTGCCTGCCTGAGCAACACATGGAGATAAGCGCCGGGGGGCACCTCTCTCACTGTGATGTCTCATTCAACGCAACGACTTCAATGGAATGAGTCCAATGACACACACAGAGAGACCTGACATGCTCACACGCGTCACGGCCGCCTCTGCGGGCTCAACGACCGTCCCCTTATGTGTCCCCCTGTCTGCTTGGCGCTCAACATCCAGCTTGTCAAAGGGGCCCGCGCACACAACCGACACCCTTTACTCACTGCCGCGTGAACCATCCGCACCTCATGCAGCAGCATCTTCTCGTCCGAATCACCACCGCCGCCAGACGATGCTGCCGATGCTGCTGATGCTGATGCTGTTGCCTGCGTGTCGCCCTCTGCTGTCCCTCCTCTGTCTTTGGGTCTGTCCGGCGCCCCTTCCCTTGTGGCTAGGGGCGGGGTGGATGGGTGGGGGGGCGATGGTCGGCCGCCCCTGGCAGCTGCTGAAGGGAGCGTGGGGGTGGACGGGGCGTTGGGGGGGTATCGCGAAGCGCTGCGGCTGCGCGCGGCTGACGACGAGGTCATTCGAGACCTGGTAGACACAGGCAGGGAGAGAGGAAGAGAGTGTGGACGGATGGGTCCTCTCCTCTCCATGCCTCTCTCTTTGTGCCCTGTCTGTCTGTCAGGTCTGTATACGTACCTGCTGTGGCGGTGCGGTCCGCTGTGGCTGCGTGGTGAGAAGGGAAGGGTGGCGTCAAACTGACACGCCAGGTGGACGGCGTGGCCGCACAAGAACACCACATGGGTGGGGCTGTGACGCCTTCACACACACACACACACACACAACATCACACACCCACACAGAGACAGAGAGAATGCACCCACTTGCAGGACACTGCCTGTGTGTCCAAGCCGTGCACACCTGAAGTCGAAGTGGAACCGCGCGACCTTGCCCAGCTCCTCCCTCGCCCGCCTCATGACCGCAGCCGACGGCTCACCCTCCCCCTCCCCCTCTCGGCCCCTGTCCTCTTTCGCCGCATCCTTGTCGGCCTCCGGTCGCCGGTCAAACACAGGGGGCGTGGCGGGCGATGGCGGCGAGGGCCACGATATGGTCACGGGACGCAGCCGCCTCGGCGCATCGATGACGTAAGCATCACACAGACAGCACCGCGTCGACGACCGGCAGATGAGCACCGGCAGCTGCTGGTGGCCGGTGGGGCGGGGCTGCATTGTCGCCATCATCTCTGACGCGGCCCGCTGGCTGATCTGGGTGGACCGCTCGTCGGATGAGCCACTCCTGTCCCGCTGGGAGGACGTCTCGCGAGAACGGCGTGAGGGGGCGGAGGGGGAGGGGGGCGGGAGGCCTGGCGTGGCTGGGGGGGACCGCTGAGGCCTGCACAGTGTTACCCAGACAGACACACAGCGAGGCTCCATTGATTCCCGCATCGAGGCTTTGTCCGGTTTCCTCACTTTGCTGGTGGCGGTGCTCGTTTGGGCTGTGCAGGTCTGGGTGGCCCAAGGTTGCCGGGGCCCCCCATGGCCGCCAGCAAGGGTGTGGGGTGGATGGTGAGAGCGATGCCCCGCCTCCGCCTTGTGAGCAGCGCCCTGGAGAAGTGGGCGCTGTCGAGCTTGAGGAGGGAGAGGGACGCCTCCTGCAGTGACCGCTGCACCTGCAGGTCCTTGAAGATCTTCTCCAGCTTGGCCTCAATGCGCGGGATCTTTGACAAGTCACCCTCCGGCAAGCGACGGAGGATCTGAACACATCCACACGACCACAGAAGCGCGGCCATACATGTGGTAGTGCGACAGAGGCGCACCCACCTGCAGAGGCGTCACCGGCAGCACTCCCCCGTTGCCCATGCCCTCCCCCCTCGCACCCACGGGGAACAGCACCGCCTCCCGGTCACGCGGAGACGCCGAACTGCGGTCGCTGTCGGTGTCCAAATGCGTCAGCAGCTCCGCCAGCGCCGCAGGATGCTGCAGAGCAAAGGTGACCAGCTGCTCCCACAACTCCGGGTCTCTGTACTCGGCTGCAAACCGCACTGCCGCGCGGATGTCCTGCAGCTGCTCCAGCAGGATGTTGAGGGCGTCCCGCGTCAGCCCCGCGCGGCCCAGCAGAAACACCTCCGCCTCGAGAAGCGCGGGGGACCGGCCGCTGCCCTTCCCCTGATGCTGGCCCATCATACTCCTGGCATTCCTGCATTGCTGCAGGGCCTCCTGGACGTCGTAGTGCCCGTCGGCGAGCCGCAGGAAGTCTAGTGCGAGGTGGGGGTCGTACTGGAGGAAGAGCTCCACCTGCAGGGGGTGGTAGTGGCGCGTCTGGATGGGGTCCCTGAAGAAGAGCTCCTTGAGGTAGGTGTGGAGCAGCAGCCTGTCACTCATGAGGTGGGGCACCACCTCGTTGAGGGAGAAGAGCTGCGCCTCGCCCACGAAGAGGGAACACGCGCGGCTCCAGTCGAGGGTCATCAGACCAAGAGACTGACGCGCCACCGTCTCTGGCGAGACAGACACGGCATGGCAGCACACAAGGAGAGTGCGGAGTGTTTCTGTGCTTTGTGACCGAGTCCCTCCCCCACCTCTGAAGTCAGCGTCTTGGTGCAGGTGTGCGGTGATGAGGTCGAAGACGCACGGTGACCGGATCCGTAACAGCACCTCCAACGCACGGGAATACTGCACACACATATATATATTTTATATACATAGGGGCAAACAGGGAGGGAGGGAGGGAGGGAGGAAGGTCCTTCACTATGCCACTCCGCTGCTGACCCACCACACCGACCGACCTGTTTGGTCTCCTCATAGAGGTGTGCGAGCACCTGCAGCAGCGGCAGCATCCTGGGAGACGGTGCACCACCACCACCGCCACCTCCCCTGGTCGAACTCTGTGGCGTCCCGTCGCGAGACGACATGACGCCAGACCCTCCAGAAGCACCGGACGACCGCTGGTCGGCCCGCAAGAGGCCGCTAACGGCCAAAGCGGGTGGAAGCGTCTTGTGTGGGACAGAGGGGAGGTCGGTCATGGCTCTGAGCTTGTCGATAAGGCGCTTGAGGTCCAGCCGGTGGATGGGCCACTTCTGCACCAGCTCCAGGAGAAGCGACGGGTCGGACTCACCCAGTTTGAGCAGGAGGGTCTCGTAGAGAGAGGCCTCCAGTGGCAGAGGGGGGTTCTTGGTCTTCTCACGCTCGTCGACCTTCGACTGAAGCGACGAGAGAGAAACGGCTCACTTATGTGTGCATTGGGGTATGGTGTTGTGGTGGGGTGCGTGTGGGTACGGTCCCTACCTGCCAGCCTGATGCGTCGACCCCCAGCGGCACACAGGCCTCCTCGTGAGTGTTGCTGTCCGGCAGCGGGATGAAGGGCGCCAGGTGCGTCAGGGCTCCGTGCGAATCGAAGGCCTCGACCACAGCACGCCACTCGTCCCCATCCGTGATGTTGAGTTGAGAGATGATGTTGGCCGCCCTCTGGAAGTCCCTCTGCTGCAGCAGCGGCTTGAGGCAGCTCTGGCCGATGGCCCTTAGGAGGTCGGGTGAGCCGTTCCTGGCCACGTCGATGGCCTCCTCATACCTCTCGTGGTCCACCAGCCACACGCTGTGGTCCTCCAAACTGCGACGACGAACCTGACACACAAACAGGACACGCAATCGGCGGATGGATGGATGGGCGCCCATTGTGTGCACACACCATGAGCAGGTCCTTAGGTGCGACGATGTAGTTGGGCATGGATGGATCTCGGTGCTCGAGCTTGAAGTCGAGGGGCTGCCGACCCACACACTGGTTCACCGGCACGTAGTCGGAGAACAAAATCTCACCAGACGGCCTAACGTGAGATTTACGCCACGCAGAGCAGACAGACACACCACAGGCAAGTGCACATACGTCACCATACACACATGGCATGGCTGCCTGCATGCCTAGCTACCTGCAGAGGTGGTGTTGCGGCGGTTCATCCGGGTCGTTGACGCCCCCCTCTGTGCAGGTGAGGATGGCCAGCAGCGACTCCCCGTTGCTGGCGCCGCCGTTGATGGCGAAGGGCGCCACGCCACACACGATGTACGGCAGCGCGAAGTGCTCGACCACCTCAGCATACCTGCATGGCATGGCATCGACAGAGAGATATCCATCGATCCATCCATTCAGCCATCCATGGGACAGACAATCCATCGGCGTGAGTGGCTCACTTGATCGGCGGTGAGCCCATCTCGGCCTTCTCCCGGAACTTGGCAATCTGCAGAAAGGAAGAGTGTCGGTGGATTGGCTGTCTGTCGATGTGGGCAAGGATTGGCCCGCCCACCTTGACGACGAATGCCCAGCCGAAGATGAGGGTGTCGTCGCTGCTCCAACACAGCGACGGGCGGTTGCTCGAGTCCAACGCCTGACACAACATCATAGCAACACACCAATCCATTCGGCAGCCCCTCTTTGTGTCTGTCGGCCTTTCTGTGCGCCGACGGACCAGCTGTGGGGTTTGGATGGCGTTCCCGTCGATGCCGTATCTGTAGTTGGATCGCGGGATGAAGGTCACCTTCTGGTGCGTTATGACGTCAAACACCTTGACGCCCTTCAGATTGGCCCACGCGATCAGCGAACCTCGCCAACGCACAGAAAAGATGGTGCCCTCACCGCTGGGACCAACACACAGCACAGGTTTGTGAGCCGGTGCGGGTGGGTGGGTACGTATGGATGGATGTCTTGTGTGTTCTTCTGCTGTGTATTGCAATGCACCTGTGAACGACTGTGTTGGAGGACACGAGCATGCCCCTCTTGTTGAGAATCAGCTTGTACTCATCCCCACCAAGACACACCTGATGTGATGCACACACACAGCCAGCGTCCCGGCCGCCATATCTCTGTCGACTCGACTGCCTCCCACAGACAGACAGACACCCATACATACCATTTTGTTCTGGGTGCCTTCAGCGTATTGTGGGTGAATGGCCACACTCAGCACCGCCCACTCGTAGTCGAAGGACCACGGTGGGTCGACGGGCTGCGGCCGCTGCCGCCCCTTGAGGGCATGCACCACCACCTTGCCGTCCGCACCGCAACTCGCGCAATACGCCCCCTGCAGGTCGATCGACAAGTCGTTGACCTGCACACGCGCACACCACGCCACAATGAATGGATGACACTCCCGTGTGCTTTCTCTCCCTCCCTCCCTCCCTCCCTCTCGCACTCACCCGTGCATTGTGTGAGTGGAACCTCTGGGTCTCCTCAGCCGCCTGGTCTAGTATGTAGACCGCCCCGCTCTCTGTCCCCACCGCCAGCACCTCATCGGTGTAGGCCAGGCAGGTCGCCGAGTCCCGCTCCAGCAGCCGACGCATGAAGGGCGACACCACACGATGGTAGTCAACCAGAGGCTCCTCCTCATCGTCATCATCTTCCTCTTCGTCGCCCTCTTCATGGCCGTCTTGGCGTTTGTCGTGCCGCTGCGGCGATGACGCCGGCGAGGCCTCCCTGTGGTTGTTGTCGACAATCTGTCGCCTTTGCGGCGGTGCGTCGACTGCGGGGAGAGAGGGGATCTCGGGGTTGACTGAAGGGGCTGGGTGGCTGCTGGATGATGGATCTGGCGGCTGCTCACTCATGGAAAAAGAGAATCAGCCAATGGGTGGCCACGCCACTCATTCATTCCGCTCTCGCAGAGGGGCGGCACACTCGGGTCTGCAAGCTGAGCTCGCAGGTTGAGCTGGAGGTGCTCCCTGAAACCGCTGCGAGCTGGAGGTTGAGCTCGCGGCTGAAAAGCGAAGGAGGGAGGAAGGAAGATCACTCAGGCCAGCGGGTGCAGCAAGGACAATGTTCAAGTTGCGTCTGATGCCCATGACAAAGCGGATCTTCGACACACCAGCCACAGCTCGAGTGTCCCTGTGAGCCAACCACCGGTGCTTCTCATCCTCGCAGGCTCCCAAGGACCGTCCGCCGTCGACTCACCGCAGAGCAAGCGAGATCCCCAACACCTTCTGGGACTCTGTCCACGAGCAGCGTCACGGGCTGGTGGGGTTTTTCGTCATCTTCAGCTTCTTCGGTGTGGTCGGGATCGCCGTTGACCGGTACTACAGGGAGAAGGAGCTCAAGAGGAGGAGGGAGATGCCGCAGACTGGATGAGCGAATGAGTCAATCTGGTAGGGAAGGAGAGGTGCCTGTGTCACATTTATGTGATGCAGGCGCAGCTGTCTGTGGGGCTGTCTGTGTGTGTGGACAGGTGGGGGAATGTCGCACCGCATCTATCTCCAAGTGGGGGGCCCGGCCGTCTTATTGGTTGAGCTTTTTCACACGGCTGGGAAGGGAAGAGGGGGCATGCGCATCTCCTGCCTGGCGCAACAGACAGGGTCGGCCTGCTGGCGAGTCTCAAGGCAGAGTTCAAGTTCGCGCTGCGCCTGGGCAACGACGGGCAAGGACTCGAGCTGGACCTTGCGAGTCTCCGGCAGGCATGATGCGGATGCAGTTATTTGTCGGCCTGTGCAGCCATCCACGCCTTTCGTCGCGTGCAGAGAGGAAGGGAGGGAGGGAAGAGATGACTGGCTGAGTGGCTGAGTGGTTGGTCTGTAGGCCATGCAGACGTTCGTCGTGTGTGTATATATTTGTATTTGTCTGACGCTGTGTGCGGCACAGCACAGCTGTGTATCTGTGCGATTCGGTCATCTTACGTGCTGTGCTGCGCTGCGTGTTCTCTCTTTCCGAGTCAGTCAGGTCATTCCCACATTCTCTCTTGACGAGTGTGTGTGTGTTGTGTCTATCGTCATGAGTGCGTTGAGGAGCGTCATTGCTAGCGGTGTAGACGGCGCTATGGCTGCGATGACCTTCAATCGATTGGTGCGATGCAGGCAGGCACAGCGACATTCTGATTTCAACCCGTCACACGCCATTCATCAGATTGAGTAAATCGGCTCAGTCAGTCATAGGTATCTGTGTGTCTCTCCACACATCCAGCCAGCCACGCACCAGGCACAGCACATGCAGCAGACACACCCACCAGCTCCCTCGCCCCTCCTACAAGGCACTCCCCTCAGCTAAGCAGTTAGCCGCCGCCCTGTCTACCCTCACAGGCACCCAGTGCGTGTGGTTGGTGTCTGTGAGTGAGTGTATTCGACCGATGAGACGACATGGCGAAGGAAAAGTAAGGCAAAACCCTTCACGTGTGTGCATTACCAGAGATGCGAGCCATTCTTCCCTCCATAGTTGGCTGGCTAACCGATCAGACAGCACAAAACTGGCTCCCTTTCGTGGATTGATTAATTGATTGATTCATGCAGCGCATCTGTGTGTGTGTATATGTGTGTGTGTCTATATGTGTGTGTGTGTGTCTCCGTCTCCCTCTCTCTCTCTCTCCTGTACTCTGTTGTGTCTCACGCCCTGTGTCACTGTTCGTTTGTACATGTATTATGTATGTATGTATGTATGTACGTATGCATATATGTGTGCGTGTATGTGTGCGTGCATGTATGTGCACGCTGCCTCCTGTACACGCTGTCCGACTGTTCGTTTGTATGAATGTATCATGTACGGTGAGTATCGGTTAAAGCAATCAGCCCACCCCGATCGGTCTGTACACAAGCAAAATGAACCGTATAAACCAATCACCTCACAAAGAGACTCAAATCAGCCATTCGGGCCGACCACTCACTGACTCAAAATGACCGCAAGTCTATTGCCGTCGGCGGAATAGACCGCACAGAGAAGGATATCTACGAAAGTGGTCGGTCAATTCCGCCGATGAGTGGATCAGAGACGAAATTGAGAGGGCTTATAGGTCCTTCGCTGGTCAATGCTTGGTCGGTCAATTATCACAGATAGCGAGAATACGAAGATGCACACTGCACGGGACGCACACGGAGATAGTGCAGGTGACTGCCTCTCTACCACTGGTGACAAGCATCGGCACTACCACATAGGTCTCGTTTGGATCTGACAAAACCTCACCTCGTTTGAGGTGAGGTTTTGATACGAGCTCTCTGGTTGACAAAGCGAGATCAGGGAGAGAAAGTAGTCAAAACATGTCGCCTTTCGACACCTTTGGCAGAAAAGCAGGCAACACGAAACTGAAACCCCCAACACGCACACAGGCCCTCACCAATGAGCACACGAAGAGGCACACAGACACGCAGGTAGACGAGAGGGAACACATATAAGCCATCAACACACACAAACCCCCGCAAAGAAGACACGCACGCGCATAAAATGCTCATCGATGACACTCCCATGAGTAAAATGATCAATGAATGCGACGTCACACGTGTCTGCACTGATCGCACGACGTCACACGTGTCTGCACTGATCGCATCATCTAGTACCTGTAACCCAGTGCAAGAACTCCTGAAATGGATCACGCGACGAACTCTCTCGAACCGGCTGTCCCTCCGACTCCTTGGCACCTCCCTCCTGCTGCTTCTGCTCCTTTATTATACGGTGCAGCTGCTGGGTGGCCTGCATCGTCTTGTAAAGCAAGGTGGGCACATCGATGTAGAGCGCCTCATCTCCGTCTGCAGACGACTCAAAAATTGCCTCGGGAAAGACATCCTTCAGCTCATCGGCCAACACACCTGCACAAACCGGCAAATGTCTCAGGAAAGGAGGAGTATGTAGCCAATGCTGACCGAATTGCCGCTTGTGTGGGTCGAGGGCCCCATGTTTCCACTTGTAAGTATGGAACTGAACCTTCTCGAGAGCAGAGAGCGCGTCACTCGCCTCCCTTTCCGACTCAGTCTTGATCTCCTCAGCTAGTGTGCTCTCGCCAAGTGTGCCGAGTTCGGTGCTGAAAAGTTTGTTGGCGTAGATCTGGTTGATTGGCAGATCAATGCCGCACCCGATGTAGCCCTCGCCCTCAGCAAGCGTGTCGTCAGCTGATGCACACGCATAAACACACAAGACATCTCTTTTGGTGTGGCGATATATATATTTGTCCTGCATACCGTCGTCTGCGAAGTCATATATGCCAAGAGCAGGTGTCCCGCCGCATTGATAGGTCGCCCACTGCAGGTCACCCTTGCGCGTCCCAATGACGTCTTCCTCGACGGGCAGCACCCCCTCACCAATGGCTAGTGCAGTGTCTCCCGGTCCGACGTGCACTGGTGACAGGTCATCATCGCCCGTGCCGGTTGTCCCTCCCGTGGGAGCCGTCCCCCCGCCACCAGTGCCTCCGCCACCACCACCACCAGTGCCTCCGCCACCAGTGCCTCCGCCACCACCTCCTCCTGTTCCCCCGCCTCCTCCTGTTCCCCCGCCTCCTCCTCCTCCTCCTCCTGTATCATCTGTGGTACTACGTGACAGACAACCACAACAAATGATGCAGCTCGAAGCGAACACTGTCCTGTGTGTACCTCCTCACTCATCATTGCCAGGGGGAGGCGGGTCTTCGTTGCCAGGAGGAGGGGGGTCCTGGTTGCCAGGCTCAGGCTCAGGGGGGGTGTCCTGGTTGCCAGGCTCAGGCTCAGGGGGGACATCAGGAGGGGGTTCGCTAGGACTGCGTGACAGACAACCACAACAAATGATGCAGCTCGACGCGAAGACTTGCCCGTGTCTGTCCTCCTCACTCCTCTGGGGGAGGCTCTGGCAGCTGGATGCCTGTGAGACCGGGATCGATAGGGCCGGGACCATCTCCTGGATCCTCCTGTGGAGGAATTTGAGGGGCATCACCAGGGGGGGCAGCAGGCCTGCGTGACAGACAACCACAACAAATGATGCAGCTAGCTGCGAAGACTTGCCCGTGTCTGTCCTCCTCACTCCTCTGGGGGAGGCTCTGGCGGTGTGATGCCTGTGAGACCGGGATCGATAGGGCCGGGACCATCTCCTGGATCCTCCTGTGGAGGAATTTGAGGGGCATCACCAGGGGGGGCAGCAGGCCTGCGTGACAGACAACCACAACAAATGATGCAGCTAGCTGCGAAGACTTGCCCGTGTGTCCTCCTCACTCCTCTGGGGGAGGCTCTGGCGGTGTGATGCCTGGGAGATTGGGATTGATAGGGCCGGGACCATCTCCTGGATCCTCCTGTGGAGGAATGTTAGGTTGTGTCCGCACACTCGCAACGAGCAGGAAGGCAAAGATGGCGAACCGAATGGCCTTCATGGGGAGGGAGGCGGAAGGGCGCACGAAATGCGTTTACAATAACGACGCATGCTTCGTAAATTTGGATCACCCGATCTGCCGTGCGGATATTTAAGTGTTTGTCGTTACGTATTCCTTCTACTATGGCTACGTGCTCTTTCTATTATAATGCATACGTGCATTGATAGGATAGCGTCCTCCTCTGAGCCTGTCTGTGTGTGGAAGCAAGAAAGACGAGAGATACAGGCAGTCAAACGGCAGAGAGGGGCGCTATCGCGCCACCGCCCTCTCTGTACGTGCGGGTACAGTGTGAGAGAGGGTGACTGGTTTCTAGTGGCAATGGGTAGGGGGATGATAACGTGACGTGGAAGAGGGGAATGGCGATGTCCAGGTGATGTCCTCAGCGACAGTGGGGAACAGACACAGGGGAGGGGACCCGTGGAGAATCAACAGAATTGGTACGCAGAGTCCAATCACGAAACGCAACAAAGCCACAAAGGCTGCCAAAGCGGGTGGGAAATCGAATCCTGTGGTGTCCGTTCACCAGCGTGCAGCGCTACTAGATGGCTAGCTTGCTCAACGACGAAGGCAAATGCTCCTGTATGCGCTTCCTGCACAGCTCTGTCATCATCAGTTCTTTTCAGCTCGGCTCTACGGACACATCTTGCGATGCACACATACATGTCTGGCTGCCTGCAGCACCTGGACTGCTCCACTGGCACGTGCATCATCAATGGGCATGCATCACATCATACAAGGGCCCCCTTCTCCTCAGCGCTCTTCTTCCCATATATACGCACCCATCGATTCCCATCCATGTATCCATCCATCCATCCAGGCAGGCAGGCAGGCAGACAGTCATTCGCACGCACCCATCGACGGACACACAACACATCCATCAACATACACGTGGGCACGAGCAACACAAACGCTTTGTGCTCACATACAACGGACACACACGTCGGCTGCACACACACGCGGAGGCGGTGGTCACGGGGATGCGGGAACACCCACATACGGATCGGTCGTGTTCGGTTGTGTGTGCGGCAGACGGTCGATACACATCCATTCCTTCCATGTATACGTCATCCTGTCTGTCTGTCTGTCTGCTCTCCCTTCCTGTTCGTACGCACCTTGTCGGAAGGATAGACGGGACTCGCAATACATATCCACATAGACAAACATCGATGCGACGTGTCCACTTCGCATCACTGGCGTGGGAAGGGCCCGCACGCAAACTGCAAGCGATACATTGACAGACAGAAAGGCCACTCGGGCATAATATGAGTGGACGACTTGTTTGTATCCTTACGGAAAATCCAAGTGCAGAGTCGCGTCCTTCTGGACATTCTAATCAGCCAGTGTGCGGTTGTCCTCCATCTTGGTCGATTGATGGGTGACAGTTTGCTTTGTGGCGAAGAGGCCGTTCTCCTGCTGTAGCTGCATCTTGACAGCCCCGACTGACGCGTCCCGCCCAACGTGTAGGGACACTGTCTTGGCTAAAACATGCCGCTGCTGCAGAGTGTCACTCATGGCTCTCCTGCACACACACACACACACACACACAGGGACACGCACGCACAGCATGACGCCGACGCCGCGACTTAAGATCTCGACAACCAACCCACTCAGCTCCCTATCGACACAGACCCCCATGGCTTCCATGGCTTAGCGTTTCAAGCTTGCAAGCTCGCAATGAGAAGCGAGAAGGCCTTCCGCTTGGCGCCTTCAAGAGCATTATCATCAGGTGGGGCAAACGAATCGATCCCACCCGAAAAACACACAGATCCACTCATATCGCTGTTTGTTGCGTGCGTGGTTCAGAGGGCAGGCACCTGTGTGAGATCTGAGTTGACGATGGAAGCCGAGTTGGCCGCTCTCATGCGTGCCGCTTAGCGAGGAGAAGAGGGCAGCGACCGACCGGGGAGCCTGCACACGTTGCGTCGTGTGAGAGCCCGTGGATTGGTGATCTGCGAATGCGGTCCGCCCGGCATCTGTGTCGGCCTGCCTCCCGGCCCCTCCAGCCGCTTCCCGCGCTGCATCTGCCGTGCAACTCATCCCTCTGCCCACTTCCTTCCCTCCCCTCTCACGCCATGCCACGGGCAAGGCACATGTCATCCGCAGCAGAGGCAACATCATCAGCATCAGCAGTGTCGCACCAGGCACACACCAGTGACAGCGAGGGCGAAACTGCTGGAGAGATGGAGGGGCCTCAGGGGCAGTCGGCGCCCGTCTTTGATCAGTCCATATCGGTGGCGGATCAGCTCATGAATGCGGTGCAGCAGCGGGTGCGCGAGGCAACACAGTGGAGGCGGTCGTCTGAGTACGTCAAGAACCTGTACACGGCTGTGATGGACGATCCAGCAACCCTTACACAGGTCAGAATGTGACAGAAAGACGTGCAAGGGAGCAGGCGCCATGATTGATTCGTCGGATGGTGTCTGTGTGTTCAGGTGCAGAGCCTGCCGTTGACGGATCTGTCACTGGTGCTTCGGCTGTTCAGCGGCAGTGGCGTCCTCGTCGACGAGGCCATGATGCGCCAGGCGGCCGAGAGGGTGCAGGCGGCTGTGGCGCTTGAGGGGGAGGGGAGAGCCGCTCTGGAGGCCTTGGGCCATCTGCTTATGTGCACCATCGAGGGAGATCGGACCAGGGACAAAGACGTGCAGAGCGGTGATTGGCTGGCGGTTGGGGAGAGAGAGGAGAGAGAGAGAGAGCCCACTGGACTGTGTTGTGTTGTGGGTGTGTATGTGTAGGTGTGACAGGTGTGCTGCTGGACACCCTGCAGGTCTATGCCGACACGGTGGACGGTCCCACTGCCGCTGTGGGTGTGTTGGCGTGCGTCTTGTCGCGGCGTATGGACGCCCCCGTGCTGACCCGGCTCGTCAACGTATGCTCGCTCAACGAGATGGACCTCGGCAACAACGACATGCTCACCCTCAAGCTGGCCACTTACCTCTACAAGCACCATGTAGCTAGGCACACACCAGCGGACACGTCATAGCACTCTCATGTGTGGGGTGCGTGTGGCCATGGTGTGTGCAGCGGAAGGGCGGCTACGAGGAGTTCGACCTTCGCTCTCGCGATTTCCTGTCTGTGGTGGTCGACGGATCGGAGGCACACGAGCCGCCACCCACCCACACATACGAAGCGTCGCCTGTGAGGGACAGACAGACGAGGGTCGCAGCCTGCCGGCCATCGATCTGTGTGAGTGTGTGTTCGGTGTCTGTCTGTCTGTCAGGGTGAGGAGAGCACCTACCTGTCAGCCTTTGAGAAGGACGTGTCGGCGACGCTCAAGGCCATGGAGGTGCCCCACGACACCGCCCCCGCCCTCATCGGCCTTTTCCACCACTCACTCAGAGATGCAGACAAGAAGGTCAGGTCGGCCAACCAGTGGGTGGCAGCTGCGCTGCACCGCACCGCCTATGTGGCCATGCCATAGCAGCATTGTTGCTGGCTCATTCACCGTCTCGTGTGTGTGTTGTGTTGTGCTGTGTGAGTCCACAGGTGGTGTATGCCTGTGAGACCCCCGATGCCTTTTACATGAACCACAAGACACAGAGGAGAGCCGTCCAGAAGTGGAGGTGAGGTGCGCGACCATTCATTCGTTCGGCCCTCCCTCTGTTTGCGTGTCTGTCGTTATATCTCTGTGGGTATTGGCGTGTGTGGTGCCTGCCTGCCATGGCAGGTACCGTGTGGCTCAGCATGAGGGATGGAGGGTCCTGCCGATTGCGACCGAGGAGGCCTGGCGTGCGATGCCGACGCTCGACGACAAGATAGCCCAGATCAAGAAGGGCATGGAGAGCGAGATCAGGGGGTAGACAGACAGACAGACAGACGGGAGTGACGGACACTCGATGGACTCATTTAGTCATGGAGAGCACCCGCCAGACACATCAACCAGCGCTGGTCCATTCACCAGCGAATTGTCAATATAGCTCGAGCGCTCCTGGGCACTAACGCTCCTGTACTGAGAGAGATAATCAACAGATCGCATCCATGCACTCGCTTGTCCACACATCGTCCCCAGGAGGACTGTGCTGGAGGCGCTGGGGGCGGGGAGGCAGGTGGCTGATGTCTTTGTGGGTGATGAGTGGGGTGTGGGCGGCCTTTTTGACGGGTGGGGCTCAGAGGGCTTTCCATCGATTAGGATGATAGAGATACACATAATATCAGGTATGCGGGAATACAGTGAGTGCAGGAAGGTGTTCGTCCATACATCTTGTGTGCGCATCCGCCCTGTGTGCGTGTGTGTGTGTGTGTGTGTCCTCATTCAGTCCCCGCTGAGTTAGAGCCCGCTGACGCTGCCGATCTCGTTAGGAGCGGCCTGACGTCTCTGCTCAACGCTGGCGTGCGGGGCCTGAGGCGTGTGCGGCTGGGGCTGGGAGTGCATGACGACCTTGGCGATGCCATCTGGCAGGTGCTCGCCGACGACACGAGCATCGGCGACTTCACCATCCGCCATTGGCGCGATAGTGAGGAAATTGTGCTGGAGGCAACTCGTGGCTCTTAAACGGTCAGGGTGGCCTGTGAGGCAGGACACCGATTCACGGCGTTTCTGTGCACGCGTGTGTGTTGTGACGTCAGGCTGTCTGTCGAGTCTCATACCGTACAACCAGACATCACAATGAAGAACGTGTGGCTTCGTCATGGCTGATGCGGCTGGTGTGTGTGTATGTGTGTGTGCGTGTGCGATGGACCCACCGATTTCTGATTCTGAACACATGGCGGCAATTGAGTTGGTTGAGTGTCTTCACTCACTGCAAGCAGTGCCTGTCACATCGGGTATGTATCTGTGACACACGGCCGGCTGTGTATGAGAAGGAGCAGTTCAATGGAAGCAGGCAAGCCACTCATTTTCATTCACACTCATGCGACAACATCCACACACGCATCCATCCATCCATCCATCCATGCCCCTCCCTCCCTGCCTCTCTCCCTACACACAAACCCACCACACAATCAAGCCCTGGCCATATGACCATTCTCTGTGCACAACACACGCACATACGGACACGCAGACCAAACCATCTCATCTGTCTTGGTCACGTGTGCGCGTGATGCACCACTGGTCGAGTCACCAAGTGTCGCGGACGAGTGTAAGATGGAACATACCCGCTGTGCCGAGCGGATGTGTACCATTTCGCGTCCATCAGCGACGAGTGGGGATCGCAACACCACCAACAAAACGAAGTAATACCATCCACACACATCCCCTACGTCCCCTTCTCGTATGACGCCTGCAATGGGTGGCTGCTGCACAGGGGCGATGGGCGGCTAGCTGATCGGCGTTGCATCGGTGGTGCGGGCTAGTGTGGAGGGCACTGAAACAAATCCACACCACCGGCCGACACAGCCGGGACGGAAACAAACAGGTGAGTGAGTGAACTTACTCACTGGTGTCTCTCTGTCTACGCACTCGAAGAAAGAGACATCGAGCTCGTCTGAGGGCCGTCGTCCGTGACGGCAGCTGAGTCTTGATCTCCTGCTCGGTCTTAACATACTCCAACACATGTTCTGAGGCGGATGGCCGCCAGAGACACAGAGGCGCGCGCGTGAGTGTGAGTACACGAAAATTCACTCACCTGACATCCGCACACACGTACGCCTGCCCCCACCTACCAGACGAGTGATGGACGACAAGCGCCGGCAAATTTAAAATGGAGGCAGCAATGCCCAATGCCCATCTTCCATCGAGCGATCATACTTCATGCCGCTGATCCCGGGTTTCTTGCTGAAGGACAGACACAAGGACAGACAAACAGAGACACCGACAGACATAGAGATAATCTGTGGATGGATTCTTGTCTGATGTGTTCCGTACCTGCTGCTCTCGGGTAAGGGCGGTCGTTTCCTGAATACGGGACGGAGTAGGGTCTTTCGCGGCGACAGGCAGCCGTGGGCCTCGTCGATGTCTTGCAAGACCTTCGAGACTGGTCCCGTCAGCTTGTACAGAAGCGGCTCGAAATGGCGCACTGGACCAGGGAACACAAGAAGCATCTTGTGCATCTCTGCAAGACTGGGATCTTCCTACTTGTTATCCGGTCCACAACGAAGAAGAAGTCATACTTGACGGCCTCGATGAGCACGGAGATCAACCCGGCCTCAGCCTGTAGCGCCTTGCTCACAGCTTGCGTCTGACCAGCGGCAAATGCGGATGCACACGACCTCACTCCTTTCCTTTACTTCCGTTCTTGGCCATGCCGCAAGAGCATGGAGACGATCAATCTGCAATGCTTCTCGCCCGTTGGTGTTGTCTGCCTCGTTGACCGGGCCCGGCGTGGACGCCCTCGTTGCGATGACGAGCAGCAACGTCAGGAGAAGCGACGAGGCATGAAGGTCATACAAGCGACGACAGCGCTGCAGCCGACCTCCTTGGCTTCCATGCGGGTGCACGAACGCCCCACTCGGAGCAGAATGAAGGGAGGGAGGAACCTGCTCGGCCGCGGTCGAGGGAGAGGCGGACGGGTGCGGTTTCTCCGGCGATGGACTTTGGGGGAGGCAGGGTAGAGTTTGGATATGCGCAGGTGCATATCCAAACTCTACCCTGCCGAATACTACGCACGTGCCGTCTTCGAGATACGGGTATGGTCTGTTTGTGATGAAGAATTGGCTGTTGTTCCTGTTTGGCCCTGCGTGTCACAGCCACATACTTCCGATGAGGTTTGTATGTCGCTTTTTCATACCTGTGTTCGACATTGAGAGTAAATACCTCCTGTCGTGTCGGATACGAAAATTCTCGTCGGGGAAGAATTGGCCATAGATGGAGTCGCCGTTATCGGCTGCCATCGTATTGTAGACGATGTCGCCGCCTGACAACAAAGATATCCTTTCACATTCAGACCGTTCCTCGTTGTGTACTTGCAAAGACGTCTCCATTAATACAGAAAACGCATCCCCTATAACCGAAGCAAACGTCAGTTGGGAGACAACTTTGGTTGGCCCTGTTGCCCTTTTACCGGTAATTCAGTGGTCTCTCCGACTGGCCATTTCCTCTCTCTCCTGTGCACAAGGCGCGGAAGGTTTCGGCCGTGAGTGGCGTGACGTTGGCAAACAACTGAAGCAGACAGTTGTCATGACCTGGAGTGTGCGGCGCCCGTCTGTTGGCAAGTCATCCCCACACGAGGCCCAAAGAAAAGGCAAAGAGCATGATTGATGGATGGATTGGCTCTCATGCGATGTAATCGTGCTGTCTGTAAGAGTGTAGCGCTCACCCGTCGCTCTTCGCCAAGAATGCGCAGCAACAACTTGCCCGACGGAGATATCCATGACCGACGCAAGCGATCACCAAGGCGATGTGTACGGTGTGCCATTCGCCCACCCCGCCCTGCTGCTCATGACATGCAGATGCACATCGATGAGCGGACAGACGAGACGAGACATCCACCTCGTGTCGAGATCGAAGGCTTTGATGACACTATTGCAAAGGAGTGTCGCCATGCTGAAGAGAGCTGAATTGAAGGGCAGAGGAGGGCCCTGGCAGTAAGAATTGACTTCGACACTGCACAATGAAGAATCGGCTTACTGCCTGTTGAGGAGTGTATCGAGAAACGGGACGGCCTTTTTCAAAAACTCATCTGCACACAGACGCAGCAGCAGATGTGAGAGCGCACATGTCAGGAGTGACCAACAGGTGTGCGCACATATTATAAGGGCCGCTCGCATCACCGCACATAAGTCACACGCACTGACCTGACGGAGGCTTCCACGAGGGAGAAAGAGGACACCGGGCTGGGCGGTCGCCAGACACGCGCCACGCTCTCGGCAGGCGGCAGGGTACCAACGGCTGAGGGCTGCCCGTCGGCAGGAGGCGCAATAAAGAAGTGACGGCTGACATCCGGACAAGCTGGAGGGCTTGGGAGGGGCTTCGGCGAGCCACATAGGACGACAAGCAGCCCGAGAGAAAAGGAAATGGAGGAGATGTGGCCGCAAGAAGTCCGATAAGGAGGAAAAGCCCGGCAGTGCTCACGAAATAGGTTGCAATCATCATGATATCAATCAAATAAAGTGTCTTGTCTCTCGCGTCGAGAAATCTCGCCGAGAAGAGAAGGATGGAGTGAAAGGGCTCTTTCTCTGCACGCGAGCTGCAGAGATTCAACAAGAACTTGGAGACTCCATCCAAGCTTGCCCCCCCCCACCCTCTGCCCCCCGTCTCGACGATGACGATGATTTCAGCGAAAGAGGCCGATCCAGCCATTCATTCACGGAGAGAGAGAGAGAGAGAGAGAGAAGCCAGCCATCGTCAGCAGAGAGGAAGCCACGAACAGGCCACACAGTCCGAGAAGGAGGTCATGGACGCAGGAATGTGTGATGTGTATATACCTAATGTGTGTTTGTATGTACATACGTGTGTATTGGTGTGTACAGAGGACATACAAATACGGACACACAGAGACAGACAGACAGACAGACAGAGGGAGAAGGACGCGAGAGAGCCAAACTGAGGCAATCAAGGCAGCAGAGACCGACCAGTCATGAGCACATGGCCATCCATCTGCACACCGCGAGCAATAAGGAGGATTGGAGCGCATCACTCCAGTCAGTGTGTGTGGCTGTGCACACGAAAGCCCTCAGCAAAAGCGCCTCGTCCCGAGTGCCGTGCAGGGGGTCACACATATATGAACTCAAAGCGACACACATACAGAGAGAGAGAGAGAGAGGAAGCCGCCCCGACAGACAGTAAGGCAAAATGACTGACTCATGGCAGCGGTCTGTCTGTCTGTATGTCTGTGTGGTGTGGTGTGGTGACGTGTGAGTGGACGGGCAATCAGTGTGAAACACACACTGCCATGTCTGTGTGTATGTAACGAAGAAGACAATGCTCCACAGATGGATGGATGGATGGTCTTGCTAACACCACTCCCTCCCTCCCTCCCTGTCTGTCAGCAAGTGATCCCACATCGGTTGGCGCTGCGCTCCTCTGTCCTGTGTGTGTGAGTGGCCGGGATACAACACAACTCTCATGCAAAGATGGATAAGCGCTGCAACCGGCCGATTGCATCGGTGGCCCGACCCAAAAATGGAAATCCATCCATCCATCCATCAAAGCCCTCACACGTGCGTGTGCCGTACACAAAAAGTCGACGTATGGATGAGAGAGAGGATGCTCTGTGTGTGTTGGAAGACAAGGTGAGGACCGTGCTGTCTGCCTCCCTGGTCTGCTCCCTCCCTCCCTCGTCAGACAGTCCATATGGGTCTGTGTGGCGCCTCTCACTCTCACTGCCAAAACAAAACCAGTGTGTAGACCCACATGCAGCGGCTCAGCTGATGGGCTGCTCAATTCTTCTACACAGACGGCCACACTCTCACACACCATAGCCCCCAACAGTTAGCCATGAAGGCCATCTCTTCTCCACCCCCACGCACCGATCCACGTATCATCACACTGTATGTCTGTGGGCACTTGACGGCCTCGACAGCCCCTCTTGCCTCCATTGCCGTGTCCGCCTCACGAGTCACTCCGAGTACTCGTCGCTACCTGATCCACCCACAAACACACACACACACACACAGACAGACAGATAGACGAATGATGCAAATCGACAGGAGCCAGGGGATTTGTGCTGTGCTGTGATGCGTACCTCCGTTGCCGTCTTGTCCGTCGTTGGGATCTATATCATCGTCATCGCCCTCATCAACGTCTCCATCTGCACCATCCATCCATCCACACGTGTCTGTGTGTGTGTGTGTGTGTGCATTGCTCTCTCGCCACCGTCATCGTCGTCATAGTCGTCACCCTGATCACCGCCGTCCTCATCTACACCACACACAGACAGAGAGGGAAGGCACATCCATCCATCCATCCATTCTTGTGTGTGTCCCTCCCTCTCTCCCTCCCTCCCTCTGTCTGTCCGTACCATCGTCGTCACTATCATCGCCCCCCTGCTGCTGTGGCTGTGGCGGCTGTGGCTGTGGCCGGGACTGTTGCGGCGGCTGTTGTCCGTCGAACACGTAACGCGCCACTCCAGCCCCCACCGCCAGACGAGCCAGGGCGGTCGTGTCGAGGAAGCGGTCCCTGAAGGCACCACCCACACCAGATGCAGCAGCCTCGGTCGTATGGACAGCCACGCCCACTGCAGACACAAGAGGGAGAGACATTAGTGGCACGTGACCAGCAGAGCTGTCTGTCTGTCTGTCTGTCTGTCGGCCTGACCATCGTTGCCCGAAAGCTCGATGATGTAAATCCATGCGACGAAGTTGTGGGTGCTCTTGGTGAGCACCAGCTTTCGCAGACGACCGTCCTGGTAGCTGAATGCGGTGCCGCATCCGTCCACCGGTGTGTGGGGCGACTCGGTGAGGAGGGCATCCAGACGGCCGCCACCGACATACCTGAACCAACCACACCACACGCACACAATCAGACACGCACCCCTCTCACCCACTGGTGCCATCGGTGGGTTACCTGTCGAGGAATTTCGTTGTGCTATTGGTCTGGTGAGTCCCCTCGAAGTGGTCGACGATCAAACGCTTAGCGCACGACGACACCGACGCATCGGTGGAGTTGACGAACAACCCCCATCTGCCGTGGACCTTCGAGTAGTCGATGCGGGTGTGCACTGGCGGGTCGTCCTGTAGTCGGTGCTGCGGGTACAGGTGGCCGGGCGGGAGGTGCGGGTCGAGGGTAAGCCGGTAGCCGGGCTGGTTGTTGATGGCCCGCACCTGATGGCCATGGCGGAACAGCTCCAGCCGGCTGCCGTCACCGAAGTCCACATGGCGCCCCGCCACCATCAGCTGCGCCAACACACGGGGAAGCGACACATACGCCTACACACACACAACACACACATGGATGAGCAAATGAGGCCATTTCTTGCTCCCTCCCGCCCTGTGAGTCCCACCGTCTTGTCGGCGTGTTTGTTGATGCCGGCTGCAGTGAGGTTGACGGGCAGCGTGCAGCATCCACACTGGCTGGCCCACCGCAGCACCTCGGCCACCTCGTCCCATCTTTGCTGCTCCACCATCCACATGGCCGCCAGCAGCAGCCGCGCCTCGGTCACCGACTGCGGGTCGAAGGCTATCACGGTGTCCAGCAGGGTCCCATCGGCGAGCCGAATGCGATGGAGTGACCAATTCAGTCGGCTGCGGAGCGTCTGGGCAGGGAAGTGGTCATTGCCGACGAAGCGGGCTGCGGTCCTGAGGCGGCCGATGTCCTTGGCCTCGTCGTAGAGCTGGTATCTGTCGTCGCGGTGAATGAAGTCGAGGCACTGGCCGTGGACGGACGGCGAGGCCTCGTCGGTGGTCTTCCGCGGGACGACGTACGCGTTGCCCATCGCACTCACTCACTCACTCACTCGCAAGAGGCTACTTTCATCATACGGGGGCAACGGTGAGGCAAAGGATCGCCTGAGAGCTCGCAAAATGGCCTCTTAACGCGTTAACTACCATCTTTCCCCCCATAAACGGCCGGCCATGACCTGATCTGCGCATCCATCTGTGCGTCCATCCATCTGTCCGTCCGTCCGTCCGTCCGTCCGTCTATCCACACGATGCTGGTGATGGCCACCAGCGCCAAGATGGACCTCTCCCCCGCCCCATCCGACCACGAGCAGGAGGAGGACCACGACCACGACCAGGACCGTGAGCAGGACAGATCTGGCCAATCCAACCATTCCATCCACGGCGGCCCAGCACCAGCGGCACTGGCAGCGGTGAATGGCAATGGCAATGGTGCTGGGAAGCGCAAGACCGCCATGCCCACCAAGTTCGACCCCGGCAGGGCGCAGCCCGGCGCGGCGCACCCCGTCAAGCCGCCCGACTTTGTCCAGGAGAAACGCCGACGCACCGACATGAGAGGAGCCAGGGGCGGCCAACACACAAGTTCCAGCCGCAACATGTCGCCCAACCTCTCGCCCAACGCATCGCCTCCGAACGAGATGGAGGAGGGAGAGGAGGGGGAGAGCATGACGATCGCACGGGGACGGATGGCGGCCAGCGGCAGTGGCGATGATGGAGGTGTGCTGCCGATGGCTTTGGACGAGTCTGCCGCCCCTCCGAGTAGCAGCGGTGGCAACGGTGTGGGTGGTGTTGGTGTAAACGGCGTCAACGGCGTGGTCCAGCCACCTGAAGACCGTGTAGCTGCCCCTTCCCCCTGTCCCTCCCCCTCTCCCGTGTCACCACCCCCCGACCAATCGCCGGCGGCCGACGTCATTCCAGCAATCTCTGCATCTGCAGCATTTGCCAGCAACGCCATCGCCATCGCCATCGCAGGCAACAGCGCTGGGGCGCCCGTGGAGATCACTGACGACGACATTGTCAGCGGCCCTCCCCCTCCCAAACCCGTGCAGAGGAGCCCCTCTGACGGACACAACAAGGCCAGCAGCAATGGGAAGAAGCAGGACAGTGGCGGCGGCAAGGGGCGCAAGGGAGGTGGTGTGTTGAGGGTGTCCAATGGGGGTGGGGGAAGGGGTAGTGACGAGGCGGCTGGGGGGCCGTCATCTGTTGGGGACGAGGGGGAGGGGGGCAAGGCCGCCACCACGGAGCGGCCAGCGGGGTGTCGGCCCATCACCACCTACTTCGCACCCAAGGGCGGGAGCAAGCTCAAGGACGACGGCCAGGGGCAGGGGCGAGGAGGGGCCAAGAAGGCCGCAGACGCCTCAGCGGCTGCAGCAGCATCAGCAGCAGCAGCATCAGCATCAGCTCGGCAGCCGAACACCGGCGGCAAGAGCCCCGCCGAGAGTGCGCTGGAGCGTCAGGTGGGACAGCTCAAGCAGCAGCTGCAGGCAGTGCGTGACGACAAGGCCAGCGAGATGGAGCGGTCCCGGGCCAAGTTCGAGTCATATGAGAAGCAGGTGGGCAAGCAGCTGGAGAACGCGCGCATGGAGCTGGTGGAGATCGTCAAGGAGAAGGCCAAGCTGGAGCGCGAGAAGAAGGAGCTCAAGCTGCTCGAGGACCGGAAGCGCTTCGGCCAGCCGACGGTCGACGGCAAGTGGGAGGGCGGCACCGAGCAGGACGAGATATCGGCACTCCAGCGGCGCATCGACCAGGAGAAGGCCGAGATCCAGCAGATCCGAAACAACCTCACCAAGACAGTCGAGAAGAACCGCAAGCGCAACGCCGCTGCAGCGGCCCCCCCACCCCCACTCTCTCCCCCGCCCGAACACAACAACCAAGGCCAATTCAAAGTCCCAGAGCTGCCGTCACGTCCACCAGCAGCAGCAGCAGCAGCAGCGGCGGCAGCGGCATCAGACGACCAGGGGTATGGTGGGGATGACGTCGGGCAGCAGGGGCAGCAGCAGCAGCAGGGTGGGGGCGTAGCTGATCATGACATAGCCATGGGCAGTGGTGGTGGTGTTGGGGGCATTTTAAGTGGTGGTGGTGGCGTGTTGTCGACGACCCCCGAGTCGAATAGCGCGTGGCGGATGCCTTCGGTGCTGCCTGAGGACGAGGAGGGGATATGGGTGCTGCGTGAGCTGTGCAACAATCGCATGGAGTACCTCAAGAAGGAGGAGGCCGCCATCAAGGAGCGGCTCAACCTGCTCAAGCGAAACAGGGTCGTCTTCTCAAAGGTACACACGCCACTCCCACCCCCCTAGCCCCCCCGCCGCAACAAACATTACCCATGTCTCTTTTTGTGTTGGCGTAGGAGTGGCGGACCTACAAGGCGCAGGAGGTGTCGCAGTGGCGCAACTTCCAGATCCTCGAGCGTCACGGTCTGCGCTTCCAGCTGCTCAACATGATCGGCAAGGGCGGCTTCAGCGAGGTGTGGGAGGCCTACGACCTGCAGGAGTGCTGCCGTGTCGCCCTCAAGATCCACGCCATCCGCGAGGACATGCACCCCGTCCAGCGCGAGAACTACGTCAAGCTGGCCTTGCGCGAGAGCGACCTGCACCGCAAGCTCCGCCACTCGCGCATCGTCACCAACTACAACCGCATCGCCATATCCAGCAGCGAGTTCGCGAGCGTCCTCGAGTACTGCCCGGGGACCGACCTCGACTCGTATCTGAAGGAGCATGGCGCGCTGGGCGAGAAAGAGGCCAAGGGCATACTCATCCAGATACTCGCGGGGCTCAAGTACCTCTCACAGATGGTACGTTGGTGGGAGGTGGCTGGATGCATGCCTCCCTATCGATGTGTCTCTTATGGGTGTGTGTCGTGGATGGATGGATGGCCGCAGCAAGTGATCCACTACGACTTGAAGCCGTCCAACATCCTCTTCTCGCGCGGGCAGCTCAAGATCACCGACTTCGGGCTGTCCAAGAAGCTGGGCGGCGGCGAGGACGCCATCGAACTCACCACCATCGGGGCCGGCACATACTGGTACCTCCCGCCGGAGTGCTTCCCGCCGCCCGGCACCACACCCAAGATATCCAGCAAGGTCCCTCCCTTTGTCGCCATGGAAAATATGTATCCGTCAGTGCGAAACTGAATGGGTGGGTGTTGTCTTTGTCTGTGTGTGTTCAGGTTGATGTGTGGTCGGCCGGCGTGATGTTCTTCGAGCTCATCTTCGGCCAGCGCCCTTTCGGCCACGGGCAGAGCCAGTCGACCGTCATGCGCAACCAGACCATCGCCGCCCTCGCCCCCCACTCACTCACCTTCCCGCCCTCCCCCAAGCTCTCCCAGGAGGCTCAAGCATTCCTCAGACGCCTCCTCAACCCGGACGTGTCGGCCAGGCCCGATGTCCTCGAGGCCTTCAACGACCCATACCTGCGGCAGAGACAGGTGCGGGGCGGACAGGGAGGGGGCAGGGGCGGGGGAGGGGGAGGGGCTGTGGGTGCTGCAGCTGCTGCTGCTGCCGCGGCGTCTGGTAGTGGGAATGGCGGAGGGACGGACACCACTTGATGGAGTGATTGAGAGAAATGGATGGATTGTTGGTTGGAGAGAGGAGACAGACGGAAGTAGATGTAGAGGGATGGACGGACGGATGGTTGGATGGATGGATGGACGGATGCTTGAGAGTCGAGGGAATACTGCCGCCATGATGGCTTGGCTTGACTTGATTGCATGCATTCCTCCATGTGCGTGTGTGTGTCGTGTTGTATGCTGCGTCGTGTACCGACCAATTAAACGTGTTTGTGCCACACAGTCGACTACAACAACGCCATTAATGGGTCGTCAAAAACCCAACATATCCACGGCACACATCATTAAGGCTTAAGCAGACACACACACACACACACACATACACGATGTGTATTCTGTGGCATCAACACAATTCACTACCTACCGCCACTCAGTCGTATGGGTGCGTGTTCGTACCACGCAACCGCACACAGCCACCGCCAGACCGTACCGTTCCCATCAGGGTGGTGCATCCATCCTCTCCTCGTGTCCGCACCCCCAAGCTGTACACACCAACTGCACGACCACACATCACGCCAGCGCCACCCTCTGCCTCTCCTGCTCTTCGTTTCTATCGCCCTGCGGCCCCGTCGCCATCGCCGGCGGCCCCCCGCTCTTCCCGCCGAGGTTGTCGATGTCGTGCTGCGACAGGAAGGGCACATACAGACGCACGTAGTGCTCCAGGTCCTGCAAACCACACAGATGGATGGATGGATGGATGGCAGCCACCATACATCCTGACTGACCCTGGTTGAGAGAGATGGCTGGGTCTCCTGGGCAGCGGCGTGCAGGTGGGTGGCCGTGACGTGGGTCGAATCGTCGTGCAGTGCGTGGATCTGGGCTGTGTTGACCAGCGCCTGCAGATATCGATATGGGAGCAGACAGTTATGGGAAGACTCTCTTGCGTGAGAAGGAAGGGATATGCACCCACTTGTATGTCTGCGCCGGTGGCGTGTGGCGGCAGCTCCCCGCCCACAGCAGAGAGATCCACGTCAGACGCCAAATGCAACCTGATTGAGGCACCCACACACCCACACACAACCATCATACCGCACCGTGCGTGTCTGTCTTTCTGCCTGACTGCTCACACACCTCTGTGTAGCCTTCTGCAGGATGTCCAGCCTCTCAGCTGCATCGGGCAGCCCGCAGTATATCACCTGCACACGGAAGGACCGGACCGTCCAGGGCACACAAACACACACGTCATCGCTGATGATGGCTCAATGGTTGTCTGACTGCTGTTTGTCATGCCTTCTCGAGCCGCCCCGGTCGCAAGAGGGCGGGATCGACGAGGTCGGGCCGTGAAGTGGCCGCCAACACCGCCACACCCTGACCAACCAGGATATGCACACGGTATGTGTGGGTGTGGGTGCCTGCTGTGTGCTGACTAACTTGTCGGTCCTCGACCCCATCGAGGTAGCATAGTAGCTGGTTGACAACGCGGTCCGTCACACCCGTGCTGTCGGCGCCACGGCTGGTGTGGGTATTTGGTTGGAAGCACATAAACACAAAGAGGACAACAAACACATGATAAACGATATATGGACGGACGGATGGTTGGATGGATGGATGGACACCCGTGGTTGGTTGGTTGGTTGTTTGGGTGGGTGTCCCCCCGACCTACCGTGGTGCGAGTGCCTCGAGCTCGTCGAAGAAGATCATGGCGGGGGCCGCCCGCATGGCCCGGTCAAACACGCCACGGATGGCAGCCTCCGACCCCCCGATGTACTTGCTCAACAACTCGGGACCCTTCACACTGCATCAGCCATCACAACACAACAAAACACAACACAAAACAGCCCTTCACAGTGGCCGCCGTGCTGTCGCAAATCGTACCCAATGACGCGTAGGCCGCATTCCTGCGCGGCGGCGTGTGCGAGCAGGGTCTTGCCGCAGCCAGGGGGGCCGATGAGGATGGCCCCTTGCTTGACGGGTATCGGGGCCTGCTCGAACAGCACCTTGAATCGGTGGGGGAGGGTCAGGAGGTCCGACAAGACCTGCTTGGCCTGACCGATGGGAGGAATGCATGGACGACAACAAAGAGAGTGTGCAGGGGACACCCACCCCTGGTTTGTGTGTGTTCTGTGTGCGCGTGTGGGTGTGATGGCCCACCGACCTCGGTCATGCCGCCGATGTCGTGCCAGCCAATAGCCGACCTGCACAAGGTGAGTCAGCACCCGGGGATATCAACGGCTGCACTGACTCCCTCCCTCACTCACTCCCCCACTCACTTGAGGAAGTCCTGCCCCTGAAGAGCACGTGGCGTGACGCTCTCCAAAGCCGCCTCGACATGCTCCCGGCCCACACACCGGTCACCACTCCTCGACGCCTCCTCGACGGCAGTGTTGACCAACGCCTACGAGAAAGAACAGCGCAGCGCTGTGTGCTGGACTCACTCACTCACTCCCCCGCTCACCCGCAGGTCAGCTATCACGAAGCCGTCAGTCTGTTCCGCCACCCATCGCCGACCCGACTCACTGCTCGTGACATATACACAGACACAGCCATATATACCAAGATGGACGCGTAAGCCCCCCTCGCTGACCTGGTGAGTTCGGTGCCAACGGCGATATTGGCGGCCTGGTGTGGCGTGGTTACGGCAAGGATGTTTGTGAGCATGGTGGTGCGGGAGGCCTCGTCTGTCGGGGCGATGTCGGCGAAGGCCTCGAAGGTGAGCGGCGACCGCAAGACCTTGTTCAGAGAGGAGGGCGACTGGACCGTGGCTGATGGGAGGAAACAAACACGACAGAGAGAGGAGGTTGCGGTGTGTGGCATGTGTGTGCGGATGTAGATACCGATTAGTATGGGTGGCTCCTCCCCCGTGGCGCGGCATTGCTTGGCGGCGAAGTGCATCGCCGTCAGCCAATCGCAAAGCGCCGCACTCAAGTGGACACTCCTCTCCTCTGTGTCAACACACGCACACAAACACGGTCACATGGACACATACCGAAATGCTTTCCCCTCCGTCCCTCTCCCGACCTGCCACGCCATAGTGTGGCGATTCCTCCTCCACCACAGGGCACAGCACATCCAGATCATCCAGCACCACAGCCACCGACCCCCCATGGCCATGCCTGCCTCCCCGCCTCATTGCCTCACGCAGCACCAGGAAGAGAACTCTCTCCACGGCCGAGTAGGGCACCGTCTCACCAGCCCCGCCCAAGGCCGCACACGACACGCGAAGGCCTATCGTGCCGTTCTGCGTCGCCCAGTGCGTGAGGTAGGCCGACAGCAGGGATGACTTGCCGGAGCCGGGGGGGCCGCTCAACTGAGGAAAAGACAATGCGAGCAAAAGGTGTATGAGTGTCCCGCTTGAGCGTCTATCTCACCAGGAGAGATGACACGCATCTCTCGGCCAATGTGTCGGCGGCCTCCCAGAACGGCCCGTGGTCGAAGTACTCCACACCTAGACGCTCGTCGCCCCTGTTGTCGAGCCCGCGACTGTCTCCAGGGTAGGATGGCGGCTCACACACGACTGTGACGCCCTCACTGGCGAGCAGACGGCTCACAGACCGCTCAAGGGGCGTCTGCTGGGGTGGGGGCTCCTCTGCGTCAGCCGTGGTGCCATTGATGAGACTCGCCGCTGAGAAAGAGAGAGAGAGAGAGAGAGATGGGTGTCTTGGGTGCGTGCATTCCTTTCCCCATCTTTGTTCACCGGTTGGCGTGGTGCATGGCGGTGCGACGATGCATCGTGTGGACGAGAAGAGCCGCAGGAGGCCCTTGTCCACCACCTCGCTCGACAGCACGAAGTAATGCGGCAAGGGCCATCCCTCAGAACAGGCTGACAAACACACACACAGAGAGACACACAGACAGATAGACAGGAAGGAGGAGATTGCTACGGGTGTGGGTGTGGATGTGTCGTTTGCTCACTTCCAGCAGCGACCGGCACAAATCCCGAGGGCGATCCGTTGGTCTCTGCCCGCGTCTCCATGGCGGCCCTCACAGCTGCCGGCCAGTGGGGGCTGGGCTCTCTCGGCAGATCGGCCGTCAGCTGGTCTGTCTCATCCTCACCATTGCTGTCGGCCCCCACCTCCGTGTACATGAAGGTCACCAGCACCGCAACCTCCATCTCTCCCTCTCCCTCCCCTCCGCCACCACCATCTTGGCCCTCTGCCTCTCCCTGTCCTTCCACGACGGCTGTCGGCTCTCCCTCGTCATGCCACCAAGCCACCTCATCCACGACTGCTCGCGGATCATTGAGATCACCACCAGCATCGCCATCGCCATCGTGTGGAGCATGGTCCACAGCAGCACCCCCAGCAGAATCCCCGGGAGAGCTTTCCTCGTAGAGATCGCCTTCATCCTCCTCGCTGCTCCGACCCAACACACCGGATTGTCTGTCGAGCTCGAATGTGGGCGGCCTGACGGTCGAGAGGCGCATGACGGTGCCGTCGGCGAGAGGGACGCCGCGGAAGAAGAGCGTCTCGTACCGCTGCTCGCGCCTCGTTGTGTCCAGCAGGAAGGACCGCTGGAGGGCCAGCTGCCCGATGGTCGATGTCAGGAAAGCCTCTGTGGCCGGATCTGAGACAGACAGACAGACAGACAGACAGACAAGGCGAAAGTGGGAGTGGGCTGATTGTGGGCGGGGCGGTAGGTGAGCTGGTGCGTACCAGTGTGTGGCAGGATGGGTGTGAGTAGGAGAGATGGGATGAGGATGGGCGCCCGTGTGCATGGGGTGGCGTACACGGTCGACCCGGAGAACAGACGGTGGGACCAACGGAAGATCTTAACGCAGCAGGCAGACAGACAGACATGGATCAAGACGCACTCAGAATACGGCCACGGGGATGATGGTCTTATATACCTCTGACAGGACGATCCACCCCTTCTTGACTCTGGGGTCGCCCTTTACCCACACAAGCCCCCCGCCAACCACACTTTCACCACCATCACGCTCTCCCTCTCCGCCATCCGGCCACCCTGCCATTATCCACACCAAACGGCCCCCAGCCACATGAGCCAACTCCCCACGATTCACATAAGCAATCGCGTCGTTGCAACTCTCATCGCCCCCGCCACTAAACGCCCCGCTCGGACAGACGCGAAAAGGCCGCAAAGGCGACTGCGCCACAAGTGCCCCGCTGTCGCCAGTACTGGCGAGCAGGGACCTGCTGACGTGGGGTGGGTGTTTGCGGTCTCTGGCTTCGATGGCGAGCTCTGTGTTGCGGGAGAGCAGGATGAAGTCTGTGGGCGGGGGTGGGGAGGGCGGCAAGCAGTGGAGGAAGATGGGCGTGGTGTTGTGGATCCACACGGGGAAGCTGAAGGAAGGCATCAACACGGCCACCTGCTCCAGCAGATGATCCTGATACACACACACATATACCCCACCCACAACACAGACCCACACAGACAGACAGCATCGATATGCAAGCCGCTGTGTGCGTCTGTCTGTCTGTCTGTCTGTGCCGTTGTCCTCCTCACCTCAATGAAGGTCGCCTGCCTTTCCACCACCTCCCAGTCGTCCTCACTCTCCGGCCGCAGCATCACCCTCACAGCCAACGCGTCAATCACCACCCCGCCACCCACACTCGACACCCCCACCCTCTCGCCCTCCTTGAGACGCAAACACCTCCCCAGCAGGCCGGGCACCTCTATCACGTCGCCGTCTCGATGACAGAGACCGCCCGTCCACCCGGCATAAAGCGCCGGAATGGTGGTTGGTTTGCCCTCATCTCGGTATGGTAATCGTGTGAGCTTGAGGACGGTGCAGAAGTGGCCTGAGGGCGGGTGGAGGGCGTTGGCTGCCTTTGGTGGGATGGCCACGAAGCACGAGCGGGCCTCGGAATGGACGACGGTCAGATGGTGAGTGCTGGTCATGCTTCCGCTGCTATGCTATCCTTGCATCAGCAGGCGCATGGTGCTGATTCTCAACGTCATAGTCACCGTCACTACGACGGCTGCCGGGACGGCCTCAGATCAGCCACCAAGATCTGCATCGCCAGTTCGTGCGCATCTGAAGCAGACGAACATGAGAACAAAAGCATAACAACAGATGAAGCCATGAGGTTCTGTGATCTCTGTGATCTGTTCTCACGGGAGAGGAAGGGGAAGGGGAGGGGAAGGAGAAAACGCGAGCAACGCCCATTGCGAGCTTGACCACATGGCCTTTTCTCCCATTTCCTGCATGTTTTGGCGCATTTTCTTCAGCCAATCGACAGGTGGTTGAACACAGAAGATAATCAATAAGCAAAATCGCCAAACGAATTTGCCAGATTCGAGAAAACCGGCAATTCGATCCTCACTCGATCCAATTGGCAAATGAGCCCTTTACGGCGATTTTGGTGGACCTGTGAGCTCATCAGGAGCCTCGATGAAGGGCGCGAATGACGTGTGGTCACATCTGCGTCCAGTTGAGCTGTTCGATTTCTGCGAGCTTCTGCGACACCACGTCTCTAGAAACCCTACTTGTATCCTAGTGTCGAAAACCAGAGTCGTGTGTCTCCGCTCCACTGCTGACCAATTTCTTTTCTGCTGCCGTGTGTCGAAGGCGCTCGCAAACCAAAAGGGAAGGAGGAAGAGTGAGAAGGCCTTGAGGCCTTCAGGCCTTGAGGCTTTATGACGTTGACGTACGTCGGCAGGCAACGAAAGAAAGAAAGAGACAGCGGGGGGTGGCTTCTTGCCTGCTTGATCTATCAGGGAAACGGGCAGAGGGATGCCTATTCGCCCGCAGTCAACAGCATTCGCCCCCTCGGGAGCACGTCATCGTGCAGCCAGATCTGCAGTTGCAGTTGCAGTTGCACGTCATCTGTGTGCGTCTTGTTAATTACGAGCAGCCGGCTGCTGCAAGCGCAATCGCACGGTGAGGGGGTGGCGTTATAATGCTGATGGATTGAGTGCTTTTATGCTCTTCCGTCCCGTCTGTGTGCAGACCTTGGTCGAGTCGAGGAAGAAGACATCATCATCATCATCCCTGAGAGCCTTTCGCACCGAGATGGAGCCAGTCGGCCAAACGGGCTGCTCCAGATTCTACAGTGCTGCATGGCGGCTGCTTGCGCAAGGGCACCATAGGCACGGTGCGCTCGCCCAGCGTTGGGCGGCCGGTGCCTCGAGATTCTATCTATCATTACGGGAGGAGTGAGCTGCACGAGCTGAGTGACGCCGGGAACCCCCGAACAGCGGGCCTCTTCCTCGCCCTCATCCCGTGCTCACCCGCCGACTCAAGGACGCCCTGCGGGCCGCCACATTCGCCGACGGCACACAGCTGGACGCTGTGGTGCCGTTCGACTACTCGCATCTGGAGTGGTGTCACCTGCTGCAGGCCCTGTGGCTGAGTGGAGCACCAGCGCTGGGATGAGGCGGCAGACGCTCTCAGACCTGCGCGGCAGGGCAGCTTCTGCCACCTCCCGGCTCCATCATCACGCGAGACGACCTCAACAAGTTCCGAAGCAAACAGGTCCGCACACACCGGGGCGGGGAGATCATTCAGGCATTCATGAGCCTCGAGGACAGGTATGTATTTCTTATGATGCATCCGTGTGTGGTAGGCATTCCTGGCGGAGCCGCGTGTTGTGGCGCTGTGGAAGCTGGTGGGCCGGCACGTCAACTTTGGCGGGGAGGTTTGACAACGACCCTGATGGGGAGCTGCTGGCCACCCTCAAGGACCAGGCGCCCTTCCGCAGTCGGCTGTCCCCGCCCCTCAGTGCCGACCATCCATTCCAGCGACACAGCTGCGGCCACAGTGACGACAAGGGCTGGCACACCGACGGCGACATGCTCGACGCGTCCTTCTCATCGTTCCTCACGTCCGTCATCTTCCGGCTCGTCGAAGTGGCATCTAATGCGCTGATCATACTGCAGTAAGTGGGTGGGTGGGTGCCAAGAACGATCTCATACAAGCATTGGGCGACAGATTTCTGTGGCTGTCCGTCTTTGTGTGTTTGTTTGTTCGTTTCCTGCCTACCTGCCTGCGTCGCACACTGTGTTCAGGGGTGCTCTTGACGGGAAGGAAGATGACAGGCCTTTTCGACGAGGGTAGAAAAGGCTTGTCATCTTCCAGGTGCCACCGAGAGGCGTCGGGCGGTGCTCGTGACGCCGCTGGACCACCCCTTCGTCACCTTCGTGCGCGCAAACACGACCGAGCCGCACCTTGTGGACGGACGACGATACCAACTTCTCTAAGGCGTTCCCTTTGTCGACGGCCATGGTGCGTCCGTGGCTGGGTCCCACTTTCCCCACAATGATGGTCGGAGAAGATCTTAGCTAAGCTAGACGGCGGGCGACAATGGGGGCGCTGATGATGTGCGGCAGTCTGTATGGTGACGACGCGTGGGTATGGTCTCAGTGTCTGTCTGTCTGTGTGTGTGTGTCTGTCTGTCGATATGGCCAGCATGGGTGTGTATGAGTGCGTGCTGGGTGGGCTGAAGGGACGATGTGCGAGTGAGTGAGTGTGGGCGGGCGGGTGGGTGGGCGTGCCGATACTTTGATTGACCGGATGCATGTGTTGTGTGACGTGACGTCATGTGTGTGAGCGAGACTATTGCATGAAGACGATGAATGTCTCGTACGTCCACCTCCTTGCTATGACTCAGTCGTTTCGTGTCTGTCCCATCCATCGCCCTTGAATCCCCCGCCCCCCAAGCCAGCCACACACATACACACGGCAATCCATTAAATCCGCCAAGGCAGCCAGCCATCCGCGAACACATGCACGCGCACGCCATTTCAAAGACACATGAAGGGAAGGGCTGCAGGGCCTCTCTGTCTCTCTGTCTGTCTGTCTGTCTGTCTGTCTGGGGGTATATGTGTGTGTGTTCCATCCATCCATCCATCCACTAATCCTGCCTGCCTGCCTGCCTTTCTGCCTGCTTGCGTGGCTGGCTGTGTGTGTGGGTGTATTGGTCTGTCTGTTCCATCCATCGGCGGCGTCACTCACTGGACAAAGGCACTCACTCATGGATGCATGGATGGACGAGAGAGGTCAGTCATGACTCATGAAGGAAGGCATGAATCGAGACAGTATATGGATACACACACGGGGAAGAGAGGCGGGCCCTCTGTGTGTGTGCGTGTGGTGGTGTGTTGGTTGGTTGGTGCGGCGATGGATGGATGGATGGATGGGTGGGAGAGCGAAGAAGGTCCTTCCTGCCTGCCCTGCTCTCCTGGCTCTCTCTTACACGCACCCTCTTTGATGTGTCCGTGGGTGGGTGTGGGTGTGGGTGGGTGCGTGGGTGTGATGGCATTCGTTTAAACGCATGAATTGCCCTTGCATGTGTGTGTGTGTGTGTGCGTGTGTGTATGGGGCTGGCCTTTCTCCCTCCCTATGCGAAGAAGAAAATCAGTGAGTGAGTCCCATGCAATCGATTCCACACAATACAACACAACACAACATAACACGGGCGGACAGGCGACCACGACACACAACACACACTCAAGCCCACGCAGCATAGCACGACAGCCAGCCATCCAACCAAACAAGCAGTCTCATCTCGGCGGTATTGCGCGCGATGTGTGTTGTGTGTAGTATGGGGTGTGTGGGTATGTGATGGTCTGTCTGTCTACTTGGCGTGGCCATCGCGGTCACGCTTCTTGCCCTTGGACATGTGGGCGTAGTTGATGGGCTCCTTGCCCTTCAGCCGGGGCGACACGCGCAGCCCCACCCCATCCCCTCCCCCCCCGGCAGCCTGGTTGTTGCCCTGTGTGGGGCCACGGCGCACACGGCGGCCCTTGGAGCCACCGCCACCGCCCCCAGCAGCAGCAGCAGCGGCGGCGGCCGGTGCGGGTGGGCCCTGGTCGATGTTCATGTGGTTGCCGTCGTCGACGTCCATGTCGCCGTCGTTGTCATGGTTGTCGGGGAGGCCGTAGTCCATCTGAGGAAACGGCGGGTTCGGCGGCATCACGGGATACCCTACATGGATGGATGGATGGACACACAGAGAGAGGGGGAGAGGGGGGAGATGGGGTGGTGGGTGGGTCTCTCTCTGTGTCTCTCTGTGTGCTTGTGTGTGGGCAGGTGGGTGTGCGGGGGTTTGTGTGGTTTGTGTCTCCTCTACTACCAAACGTATACGTACCCTCAGGGTAGTTGGCCTGCAACTCGCCCAGGAAGTGCTGGTACCTGCACACACGAACAAACGAACGACAAGACCACCCGACCACAACCACAACAACAGACATGTCCGTGCCCATCCATTCATGTGCCTGTCCTCATTGGTCGCTTACCTCCTCTTGTCGACGATGTCGAAGAAGGGGTGGTACAACGCCTGCACAGCCGTGATGCGACGGTCCGGCTGATACGTCAACATGCTGACACAGCAATAACCACAGCCACAACCACAACCACAACCACATCAACATCACACACATGACCCCCACACACCCCAACCGACCCATCCGCCCCCCCTGTGTGTGTGTGTGTGCTGCATCAACCCACCGAGTGAAGAGATCCACGGCCAGCGAGTTGCGGTCGATGTCGGTGCGGCCGTAGGGGCGGTACCCGGCGGCCTGGGAGATGGAGTCGTGGCTGCGGCGCAGCAGCGCCGTGATGCCGTCACGCGGGTCGCGCACAAACTTCGGGAAACGCTAAACACACACACACACACACACAGACAGAGAGAGAGAGATAGATGAATGTTGTGTTGTATTGTCTTGTGTGTGTGTGAGGGGGTCACGTTGAACTGGTCGGCGTAGGTGAACGCTTCGCTGCCCGGCCAGATGGCGTTGGTGGGGGTGCCCAGCGTGTTGAGCATCTTCATCAACGTCTCAAACTGACAGACATGTGGCAACACAGACACAGACAGACACACACACGTAGACACGGACAGATGGGCACACAGGCAGATGGATGTCTGTGTCTATGTGTGTGTGTGTGTGTGGTGTTTGGTTGTGCAGCGCACCTCAGTGTGGCCGTTGAAGGCCGGCATGCCGCTCGTCAACTCTATGAAGATGCACCCAGTGGACCTGACGACGGCACAGGACCCACACACATACACACATACACACACACCAGAAGTGCACGGCTCCTTTCCCTCCTCCCTCTCCCTCTCTCTGAGTGTTGTGTCGTTTGTCGGCTGACTGACCAGATGTCCAGGGCATAGGTGTACTTGAAGTTGGCCGGTCCCATGAACAACTCGGGGGGGCGGTACCTGCACACACACACACGTCCCCCGAGAAAGAGAGAGACACTGCTGAATGCACTGTGCGATGCTCTGTATGTCTGTGTGTGTGGGGGGGGGAGGGGGCTAATGGGTTGGGTTGTGTGCTCACCACTGAGTGGCCACCTCGTGCGACATCAACTTAGTCGGAATCGTCACCGTGCGGGCCAAACCTGAGTGAGGAACACACACACACACAGAGAGAGAGAGAGAGAGCAAAGAGGCCGAGTGGATGGATGGGCAGATCTGTGTGTTGCCACGATGTGTGCGGTCACTGACCGAAGTCGGCAATTTTGACGATCCAGTTGTTGGTCATGAGGATGTTCTGCGGTTTCAGGTCACGGTGGATGACTGCACACACACGCACGCGCAAACAGAGATACGTCAGAACATGGCTGTGGACAGAAGAATGGTGGGTATGATGTGCGCCATAGTGCCAGGATGGCGTACGTCCTTTGCAGTGCATGTAGGCGATGCCGTTGAGTATCTGGAACATCACGCGGGCCAACTGCTCCAGCGTCGGCACTGCATACACACCACACACACATAGAAACCAACACGGGAGCCCTTCGCCACCCTCTCCCTCTCCCTCTCCCCGTGTGTTTCCGTGTGTGTGTGTGGGGGGGGGTGCGTACCGGTGTTCCTGGGGAGTAGTTTGTCGGGGTTCCAGTTGGGGTAGTTGATCTGGTTCTCCCTGGCACAGATGGTACGGAAGCGTCCGACGTCGCCGGCCTCGCACAGCTCGAAGATGAGGTACACGATGGTGGCCATGGGGTCGGAGGGGTCCATGTCCACCTTGTGGAGGGTGACGATGTTCATGTGGCCCCTCAACGCCATCAACGCATTCACCTGGCACACACACACACACACACACGGAGAGATGGGGGGGACGTGGGGGAGATGAGTTTGTTGTGGTGCGTCGTGTTGTGTGTGGGATTGCGTGTGGTTCAGGCCTCACCTCGCGCATCGTGGTGGATTCTATGCCCTCGCCCCCATTCCATTTCCTCATCTGCACACAACACAACACAACACACCGAGTGCACAGAAGAGATGCCATTGTCACCATGCATTCCCTCTCGGGATGATCAGTCAGTGGCGTGGTTACCTTCTTGATGGCCAGGGGTGTGCCCTGGGGGACCTCAGTCAACGTGCGATTCGTCACGGCAGCTACACAGCCATACGTTCCTGCACACCAACACAATATGTACGCAGACAGACAGGAGGTATTCACGTAATGGAGAGCCTCAAGAAATGCCGATGCATCCAGCCACGCGTCCGCGCATCCACACAGAGCAAAATGCACCATCCATCCGACGCATTCCATCCCGCCTCCCTCAGTGCATCACGTCCCGCGCCGTGTCTCACGCTTCCCCGGCTCCTCTCACCCTCCCTCTCGTCCCGCCAGCTCACCTGATCCGAGCATTCGGCTGAAAATGAAGTTTTGGACCACATAGGGGTCGTGCTCCATGGTTTCTGCGGCCTGCGCCATCCTCAACAACCCAACAACTCGCAGAAACCTTCTATACTGCCTTTTAGGCGGCTGAGGGTGATACAAATCAGGCGGCCATACCCAGAGAGCGATGCAAAGGCCGCACGGGACAACTCCAAACCAACTCCAATACTCACAGCTCGCAGAGAAACCCTACGTTTACATCAAACCCCAGCGCAGTGAATAGGAGGATGGCGGCCATGAGAGCTGACGGTGAGGACGGCCAGCAGCAGCAAGAAGGGCAAGATGCCGAGGGGGTCTCCCCTCCCTCACGCCCCGCACTGCCACGAGGCGCCGGACGCCGAGGTGCGGACCGAGCAGCTGAGCCGCTTTATCAAACAGGCCGAAGCTGACGCCAAGAAGCGCGAGACCACCAACCGCCAGCTCGAGGCCGATCGGGACAACTGGAAGCGCAAGTGGAAGACCGAACTGGACAGAGTGCACAAGTAGGATACACTGATGCAGGGAAGGTCCCTCTCTGTGCGCATGGAGGATGTGCGCGTGTGTGTTGTGTTGCTGGTTTTCGTGTGTGCAGATTGCAGGCTGAGAGTGTGCGTCAGGTGGAGGCGGTGCGGCGCGAACCTTCAGGAGCAGGTGGAGGCACCGCAAAAAGAGCTACACACACACAGGTGAGGTCGCACGGGCTGGCAAGGGACGCACGCACTTTGCCCCTGATGCATCCATCGCCATCCATGATGGGTGCGTGTCATTGTTCCTTGCACCTTTCTCTCTCTTCAGGGACCGCAGCAGCCAGCTGCGGCATCTGCTGAGGATCAGGGATACCACACAAGAATGGTGGGTCGCTGGCATCGTAATACACACGCACAGGGGGAGAAAGAAGAGAGAGCCGCCACGCCTACCCCTTGCATAGCCATCCTCTCCTGTCGCTCACTCACTCAGCTCTCCCACCATCTCCCTCTCTCCCCCTCTGCCCCCGTCCACATCCCTCCCGAGGCCACACCAGCCGTCCAGGCCCTCAAAGCCGAGCACAACAAGACCCTCTCCTTCATCTCCGGCACTCTGGGGATGCCCGGCTGCACAGAGGGAGCACAGATACCGATGAGTATGTATCCACTGGGTCCATCCTTAGTCAGTGAGGCCTGCTGCCTGCCTGCCTGTCGTGCGTGTGTGTGTGTGTGTGTGTGTGAGGGGGGAGGGCAACGGAGGGTGTGGGTATGGGTGACTGTGTGTCTGTCTGTCTGTCTGTCTGGCGCATGGAGTCGCCCATACACATACACAGAGATCTCTGCGGTACATGTCGTCGTTGTGTACTATACTTAGTCCCTCCCTGTCTGCCTCTCTGGTGGCCTTCCGTACCGATGGAAAAGAAGAAACGACACACGAGGCCGACCGACCAGTCAACTACTTGCCGACACCACACAACACATCACATCACATCACACACACACGGGGGGCGCGCCGCAGGGTAAAGTACGAGTAGCGGAATGAAGTGGCTTCGCGGAGTGTTGTGAATGAATGAATGGTGTGTGCTGGTCGAAGACAAGTGAAACGAAATGAGAGTGTCGATTCGTTCTTCTTTCTGTATCCCCTCGCTGTCTGGCTGGCTGTGTGTATGGCTGTGTGTGTGTATGGCGGGAGACAGAAAGACGGACAGACAAAGAGGAGACATCATTGGATTGGATCAAAGTGGAGACATCCAGTCATGGTCCAATCATGATACGTCCACGCATTGTCTCACTCACGATCATTGGTCCCATCCATGAGCCTTTCATCGATCCACCCTTGTCGAAAGTGATCAGTCATTTCTTTGTGGCTCCGAGAATCATCGTCACGCCAAGGCTGCATGCCGTCGAAGACTGCACCAGTTATGCACACAACACACAGACAGACAGACACGGATATACATCCATGACAAATGAGCATTCATTCCTTGCCTCTGGCCTCAGCAGAAACGCCGCTGCTGCTGCTGCTCCCTGCGGCGGGAGGGGGTCCGTCATCATCATCGTCATCTGCAGACACCAGCCAAAGTGATGTGCCTGGCTGCATTAACTCTGTCGACCTACCTTCCTACCTTTTCGCAGTTTGTCGACGAGGGCGGGGTCGTAGGATCCCATTGTCAGGTGCTCCAGCAGGAGCAATCGCTCGGCAAATGTCGTCGGCCGGCCGAACCGCAGCTGCCACCACGCGTCAGCCACCACGATGGCCTTCTCGACCCAACTTCCGTCTTTGAGTTCCTGCAGCTTGGTCATGTCGCCGCCGCAGTCCTTCAGGATCTCCTTTTCTGTCTTCTTTTTCTTCTCGCAGAGTACCTGATAGCGGCACACACGCTCAGACGATGCGTCGGCACTTGGCTGACGGACCTTTGTTGGCGGGACTTTGATCTGTGCCAGGATGTGGGCGGCAGCCTCTACACACAGCCACAGAACATCGCAAGCATTAATGAAGCTCAATCATCATGATGCACATACGCATGTGAACACACAGTGAACACACTGTGCACCTTCTCTCACCCTGAATTATCGGGTGGTTTGCGTGGAGGTCGACGGGCACAGGGATACAGACCAAGGAGGGCGACGGTGACGGGGACTCTCCGAGAAAATCATCAACTGAAGAGACACACACCGCACGGACAACAAAGAGACATGATCATTCATATCGACGCATCTCGCCATACGTTCAAATTCGTCGGGTGTGGCTCCCTCGTCGAGTGCCGCTGTCGCAGCTTCTTTGGCGACCAGGGCCGTCTGCACGTCGACCGTTGGTGTCGCCTCGTCGAGTGCCGCTGTCGCAGCTTGCTTGGCGGGCAGCGCCGGCTCCAACGCCTTGGCTTGCAAGAAAGACAACAACAGAATGAGAACCGTCTGGCCCTTCATCTTGCTTCACTGTTGATTGATTGATGTTGTCTCTGTCGATTGATTGATTGACTTTGCTTGTCTGTCTGTCACTGCGTGTACACTATGTACGTATGCATATGTATGTACGTGTGTACGGATGTGCACCTTCTCCAGCTCTTCTCACTCCATCTCTTATATATCACCTCGCACAGACAGAGAAACGCTCACTCATCCTCATCTCCTGACAGACAGACAGACAGACAGACAGACAGCCAGACACACACAAGCTGCTCTCTGCTGCATGCTGCACAGTCGCCGTATATAGCCGCACACAACAGCCACAAACTTCAAGTTGAACGTCCACAGACGAGAGTCGGTGGTCAGTCATGCATTGTGGACCCCTGATGGCCTTTCTACTTTCGAGGTGGGGCTAGGGGCCGAGGAGACGAGGCACGGGTCGTTCTGCTCACACACACACACACCCCAAGACGACTCGTGCGCATGTCGGATACCAAGCCCGTTCATTCTCTTGATTCCAAAACGAAAACCATCCGCCCCGTTCCGCCCGGTTGACTGCGTCGCGCTGTCTGTTTGTGTGTAATACTGCCATGCCACCTACGCAGAGCATCCTGACATCACAGGACACTTTGGTTCTCCGTTGGCGACGTCCCTTGTTGGTCGCTGGCGGCCGTGCCCCACTGAAGCAACCACTCATCGCCGAAGAGCTCGGGCACTTCACTAGACGTGCGAGGATGGAGAATAAGATGGCGAATATAAAATGTAGGTAGCGATGTACTCGCTGTCTCCCGCACCACCTGTACGCACACAACGCGGAAACAGACCACATGTCTACCCTTCGGTTCCGTCTCTTTCTCTTCTCTACTGACAATGTGTGTATCACGATGTGTGTTCTCTACTGACGATATCGCGTGCCTCCTCTGCTGCAGCCCGGGTGATGATGCGCTCGTAATGCCGTGTCGGCTTGCAGCGGCAGGCGACCTGGTCCATCTCATGCTCGGCCAGGGCATGGATGCGCTCAGCAGCCGTCTTGCCCTCCTCGTCACTTGTACGGGGTGGACGAACGAGAGGGATTGGCAGACGAACGGTCAGAAGGACGGCAGGCGAGGTCACTGGGGGGCGAGCTCTGCACGGACACAAAAAGAGGAAGGAAGAAGCTTTCAAGAGATGAACCCCATCCACCACACACGTGCATCCATTCGTGTGTCCGTACGTTCCATGACTCTGTCGATGTATTTCTCCAAGAGCGCGATCAGGGGACCCGTCGGTTTCTTGGAGTGGTTGATGGCGACGTTGAGAAACAGCCAGAGAGCTGCCTCGGCGAGCGGCGTGCCTCTAGCGCCTTTATCGGCCGAGCCGCGGACGAGCGTGGCGGCCTTCACGCACACCTTCTTGATGGCCGTGTCGTATGCCTCCATTGCTGCGGCCCGGGTCGTGATGCAGTTGGGCCGCGTGGGGATGCAGTAGAGGGCCAGCAGGCTCATCTGGCCCTTCGCCAGCCGAAAGATGCTGTCGGCGGCCTCATTGGTGGGGAGAGCGAGCAGCAGGACGGTCAATGCAGCGCAGACGATGTCGCTGACGAACGAGATGTCCTGCTGCCCCTCCCTGTCCTCGATGATGGCCATGAGGTTGCCCAGCGTGATGAAGGGCTCGCTGGGTCGGCTGTTGAGTGGCGGCTGGGGTGGCAGGGGGAGGCCAGTGGTTGTCCTGACGCGGCGCGTCATCTCGGTGTCAATGAGGCTGACCTCCCCCGTCAGCCGATTGGCCACCAGCACGTTCTCCCAGTGGCAGTCGTTGTGGGCGATGCCAAGGCGGTGGATGGCCGTGACCCGGGTGAGCATGTTGACATCCATCAGTGCCTTGACATCAGCCCCGACCCCACTGGAAGACGTGCACACCGACTTCAGCTTCTCGCCGCCGACTCCTTCTGCACCCACACAAAGAGCAAACGCACCACATTAGTGCAAGAAGGTCTCGTATGGTTCATACCCTTCTCTTTTCCACTCACCTGCGCCAACTCTAGCCATAAGAAGGCACGGGCCTTTCTCAAACTCCTCGCCCTCCTTGCTGCCCTCCTTGACGACCATCGGGCGCAGCTCTGGCACGTCCGCCAGGCTAGCTAGCAGGCTGGGGGCGATCTGCGGGCTGCCGGTGTGGCGGTGGGGCAGCCGAGTGAGTTGATGCTGGCGGTCCTCCATCGCTGCCCTCTCCTCCGAAGTGGTTAGAAGGATTGTCCTCAAATATAAAATGTAGGCAGTAATTTCTGAGCAAATGTCGATGTTGACACAAACATTGATGGACGCTGCCTCCTCCTTCTCCTCCGTCTCGTTCACCTCCTGGTGCGCTGTCTGCGGAGAGACGACCGCATGTGTACAGGTGACAGTTTACTGTGTGTGTAATATCCTACCATCCTTCTCCTCTCCTCCGCCCACTCCTGCATCTCCCGCATCGTCTCGCCCTCCAGCTGCAGGCTCTCGGCCAGCCGCTCAGCCTGTCTCCTGGTCAGCAATGTGAGCCCTTGAGAGGTGCCGTCGTCGTTGCCCAACGACCGAGCCAGGCTCTTTCGAACCACGGCCTCAGCGTTGGGCAGACGGCCCTCCCAGACCTCACACTCCCCCCTGCCACCCTCCTCTCCAGAAAAGCACTTGACCAGCTGCACCGACCGCACCAGGTCGATGGGTTCATCGCTGTGGGTGCTGCTGGTGGGCCGGTCGGCGTCAACGTGGGAGTGAGAGGGGGCGGCTGTGATGGGAGAGGCGGGCTCTGGGCCGGTGGTGGCGCTGGTCTCAGATGGAGCAGCCGCCGGTGCGTCGGGCGAGGACGGGGGCGACGTGGAGGAGGAGGGGTCGGTGGGGGCTGGGTGTGGCGCGTCGTGGGCAGGGCTGGCTTCCTTCTCCTCTGTCTCGTGCACCTCCTGGTGCGCTGTCTGCAGAGAGGTGGAAAGGCACAGGAGAGACGACTGCATGTGCACAGGTGACAGTGTGTGTGTGTAGTATCCTACCAGTCGTAGTTTCTTGGCCGTGTTCTTGAATGCGCCTAGGAGATACGCCCTCGTCCTCGGGAGGGTCCTGCTGGCTTGGGACGGTGGCGGTGGCGGCGCGTAGGATGCCGGCGGTGTGCTCTTGGGCGGCTTATCCTGCAAATAAGGGAGAGAGTGCAGGGATACACGAATGGATGTGGTGGTTCCGTGATGTATTCACGTGTGTATCTGTCGTACCCCTCGCAGGTGGGCGGCAGTTCTGGGGAAGGCGTCCTTGACGAACTCGGTGGTCCTCGGGAAGGCCACCGACAAGGCCTCAGCAGCTGCCCAAGCCAGCTTCTGCGCTGCTCCCGCTGGCCAGGCGGGCAGTTGGGGGAGCGGTGGGGGCCGTCGCCTCAGCCTGATGACCTCCGGCCTCGGCCGTCGCGTCACCATCCTGCAGAAGGAAAGAAGGAACAGCGAGCATAAGAAGTCTGGATGTGAGTATCCTGTGCTTGCCAGTTTCTCATTCACCGACCTGTACGCAACACAGCCGACGGTGCTGTGCATGTGTCTCTTACAACCAGCCGCCTTAAGGTGGATTCCTCTTCGTCATTGCGTCTGACTTCCTCATCTGACTTCCAGCCGAGGACGCTGGCGACGTCCCTTGTTGGTCGCTCGCGGCGGTGTCCCACTGTAAAGGTCCACTCGACTGACGGTGGTCTCCATGAGCTTGAGCACTTCATCGAAACACAGCCGAGGATGAAGAATACTCCGCAAATATAAAATGTAGGTAGCGACTTGACTGGTTGTCTTCCGCACCACCTGTACGCACACACAGAGGGAACAGACCACATGTCTCTTTCTCTTCCCTGCTGACCTGTCTGTTGGCAAGTTTCCGGCGGGTGACGTGTGGACGGGCTGCCGTGGTGGGTCATAGCTGAGCACTGCCAGCCGTGGCATAGGGGGCGAGCTCTGCACGGACACAAAAAGAAGAAGGAAGAAGGTTTCAAGAGATAAACCCCACACACGTGCGATGTATTTGTCGAGGGGCGCGATTAGGGGCCTCTCATCGGCCATGGCTAGCTTGGTGTGCTTGAAGGTGACGTTGGCAAACAACTTGAGGGCTGCCTCGGCGAGCGGCGGGCCTTGAGCCGCTTGGCCGTGGATGAGCTTCACAGCCTTCCTGCACACCTTCTTGATGGCCGTGTCGTATGCCTCCATTGCTGCGGCCCGGGTGGTGATGCGGTTGGGCCGCGTGGGGATGCAGTAGAGGGCCAGCAGGCTCATCTGGCCCTTAGCCAGCCGATAAACGCTCTCTCTCGGCGGCCTCGTTGAAAAACAGGGACGTACGGGGAATCCGATGGAGAATTGGCCCGGAAATATAAAATGTAGGTAGCGATTTACTCGCTGTCTCCCGCACCACCTGTACGCACACAAAGAG